TTTTTCAGGCACAGCTAAAGTTCAGAATATAACTAGCTATTTATGCACACACACACACACATATCATCTTTAAAACTTGCCATATGACCACAGTTATTTAAGAATAAAAATAATTTCACCTTAAAGGGATTCTTTAAAAAAAACTATTGCCACTCCAATTACACATACATGATAGTTTGTATTCTTTTACAGTGAACACTTTGTGAAGATAAGTATTCCCAGCAATTTATTTTTCTGAACTTACCTTGTTCTTTACTTGTGTCTTCGTGGGTCATCCACATAATGCAGCCAATCATGTATATGACTGCTTCCAGGGCTACACAAATACTGCTATTAAGACATTGATAGCACAACCTGATGACAAATTACCCTCAGATTTCTCTCCACCCTTAGGGAATGGCCGGCACCTCCCCGCAACAGCACTCAACAGAGTAGAAGACCGCGTCCAAATCTCACCACTGTGTGGCATTGCACGTTGGAACTCCAACATGCCTTTGGGTTAGACACGGAGCAGTTCCATTACATACGATACGTAATAACACACAAAGTCAACTAAATACTACGGAATGGCAATTAGATTGGAATACTAAATTATAATTCCAATAAAATCAGAACCAGGATATCCTGCAACTCAATCTTGGATATGGGCACAACATGGTAATGGCAGAAAACTGGATTCTTATTCAATGATGCAGGTTGAACCCTAATCTTCTGTTTCAGTTCTCATCAATTCTCAATGAATCAATCCCATCAATGAATCAATTCTCCCAGTTCCCAGCTAGCCTGTCATAAAAGCACTAATCAAGGTATGCAGGCTCTGTTTCAGTGGGGAGGAAATGATGACCAGCACCTGGCCAAGTCTACTGAATCTATTTGCTGCCCATCGAATTTTACAGTAATTGCTACCATCAATGCCAATACTTACTTTCAGAGGCCAGATTTCAGAAATGGCCAGAAACAACATTCTAAAATAATCAGCATTATTTTAAAAACAAAGATAAAATCTTTTTGGCACCGTAAACGTAAATTTGGATTGGACAGGATTTACAAGAAAAACAAAATCAATCCATGCACTGCAACAACACTGGCAGGCAGGAAGAACAAATCCTGAACAATTAGTTTTTAAACAAACCTAATGAGCGTACTTGAAATGTTTTACTAAAAATATGTAACCACTCTTGAACAGGTAAAAGATAAAAGAAGCATGACTGACAGCTGTTTTATTTGAGGACAAGAATGTTATTTCCTTATCAAGACCACAAACAAATAACACAATTTGTCACAAATCACAGATTTATTTATTCGGTACCTTCTGACGACCTGAACTTCCTAAAGCTTCACATGGCTAGTAGCTGGTGCATCCGAGGGACAGAGAAAACCAGTATGGTTGAAAAGAATGAACGCATACACTGTTAAATGTTAGATTATTACATTAGCCAAACAGTTTTACTGTTAGTTTGTTCTCAATGATACTTTATGTTCACAGAATAATATGCAGTTGTGTTACCATATGTAAACTTGGCACAAGTTGAGAAAAGTGACACAAGAGGCACCTTCAATATAATCTTATTATATTTCCTTTCACCATTACTTCATTTATTTCAACCAATATAAAGTCTCCAGAGTTTTACTACTGCTGGATCTGCAGTGCTGGTTTTAATCAAGAGTCAACAACTTAATCACAGTTGTCATACATGTGTTTGCTTTTTAGGAAAGTAATTAGGCACTGCAGTTAAATTGCTAAGAAAACAATGAGGTATTTGTTAAAACTAGGGTGTGCCACAGTGTCTGAAAAAGTTACTTAGATAAAGATTAGAGCTGAGAACCAAAACTAAAATCTAAAAGCTTGCTAAGCAACATTAACTCAATTTAGCAGATGCAAGATTATAGTACAGCATTTAACAATTCAAGCACTGATATGTTTTCCAACTCCAACAACGCTCCTTCCCATGAGCTTCTAAAGATAACTCAGATAGAATACCAGAAAATCACAGAACCAAAGCAGTTTGATCCATAGAATTGTTCAAACAAACAAATGTGACTAGAATTTTACATCACTCGATGGCCTACTGGATAAAGGCACTAATTGGTGAAGCTCTAAGGAATAGAGATTAGAAGGTTGCACTTGACTCCCAATCAAGGTTCTGAGGGAGAATTGACTTTTGTGCCCCAGGGTATGCCAGGGGAAACAACTATCCAGAGTTCCCCACTTGTGATCAATATCCACTGACACAAGTTGAAACCTGGCACATGTCAGATTAGAACAGGGTTGGGTTCAGTTGTGATGCCTCCCAGTCACTTGCATGCCAGGAACTAGAGGTCTACTGTACCAGCCATGAACGCACACCCAAAGCTGCCAACTTATGGTCTATAGAGAAAACTGGTGAAAAAAAATTTAAAGTGATTTTGATGCAGTCAACCACCTGGTCAACACATTGCAGGAAACCAATCTCTGCAGTTTACACAGATCAAGAAAACAAGAGGCTCCAGGAAACAGATTGACCAGCTGATGATGCAATATGTTTATGTATACCCTCGTTTCTGCTTGAGATGACAAAAGAAAAAAAATTGATGGGCCAATCCAGAACTACACTCCCATACATCCAGACGGTCAGTATCAAGAGTACCATTAACAGCGTCCTGACAGTGTAACTTGCTCACACATTCAACTGAATAAGAGTGCTTGATGCAGCAAGGGGAAGGAGGGATTTTGTTTACCTTTCCTTCAGGGAATAATCTCGAAAAGTCATCCAAAGTGGGCAACATGCCCATGGGTTGCACATGTACACAAGTTATCATGTATTTCCAGCATTGCAGGGAAGAGAGATATGATAAAAGTATCTGATCCAAAATGAGTGAGTGTGAGAGAGAGAGAGAGAGAGAGAGTAGGGAGAGGTGGAAACACACACTATCCACAATGTTTTCATATCCGCGATAGGGCTGGTACCAATTAGTTTCGCTATTAGGTTTTCTACTATTCAGAGCGGGACACTCAATTTATTCTTACCCATTCCAAATTGGTCTCCCAGGGGCTGAGGAGAGCTCTGTACATGCCAAGGAGTTCAAGAACACCATTTTCTTATTTTAAATTCAGAGGGTAGCTGGCGGACGAGACACAAAATGCTTAGCGCAGTCAAGCCCCCAGCATTGATTTGATTCTAAAACCTGGGAGCAGAATCCCGATATATACAGTATTTTTAATTTAAACCAAAATGGAACTGTGTGAGTAATTTCTTTTCAGGCCTAAATTAGCATGTGCCAATCACATTGACAAGCAACCAAGTTTCATAAAGAAACTAAGAAACAAATAAACATTCCTTGGTCGGCTACAATTCTTATGGCAAGACTATTTTTAAACGATGTAATATTTTCATATTACATCTATTATGAATCATTAATATATTTATGGTACATTCATTGGATGTTGATGAGCAAAACTGAATGTAAACCTGTAAAACCATCAGGTTTCACAAATAATTCCAGGAGCTTTAAGATTCTGTCTGCCTTCTGTATCACATCACCGTCCTGATGAAGATTACAGCCCTCTGTCTGGAAATGGATTACAGACTTTCACTTTGCCAGACCCACCTCAATTTCCTATTTGAAAACATTACAGAAAGCGACAAATATTCAGACATAGCACGTCATGGACTGCGCTGTAATGCAGTTTTTCTTGGCTTAGTTAACACCCTGAAAGCCCCTTTGAACAAATCAAAGAAATGTAGAGTCCCCAAAGAGAGAAAATGCAAAAAGCAGGTTCAGGCGGATTTTAACAAAGGTAGTGAGATGGTGATACCTCATGATCTAAGATGTTTCATCTCAATATTTAGATATGAATTTTATTTTCCACTATAAACCTGGAAATCCCAGTATTTTCCACTTCCCTTTAGATTCCAACACATCACTACGACCAATTGCTAAGATTTGCGAAAAATCACCACAGCTCAATTCGCTAGCAGATTTTTCCTTCCTAGCACCTGGGAAAATGTTTTAAATCTGCGCAACACAGTCCAGATACTCACAATGAGTTACATTCTACCACTCTGAACCAGTGACTGATGACTGATGAATCATGATGGTACAATGTTGTTTTGTGGTGTATACCACAAAACTAGTCATCCACTTTTTTTAAAAAAATGCTTTTAAATTTGGACAGATTTCAGAGATTTGGCTTTTTGAAGCTTTCATTGGAAAAACAGCTATATTGTACGTAATGAAACAATCACAAGGACATTTGAAACTAAACTACAGCAAATCAGCCCCTTTAGATCATTCTACGGCATACAGTTAAGCATTCAGAGCAAAAAGGGAAGATTACACTGGTACAAATCACGTGCCCATCTAAAGACTAATCAAAATTCAATGCACTTTGTGGAAAAATATATCCAAACATTCGTGATACAACCCAAGTATTTAACAGCAGATCCCACTTTTTATTAAAACTGTTGAGAAACAAGTAATAGAATATAATTAATACGTAATTATTTGTCTCATAGTGTTATTAAGTATATAATAAATAAAAAATAAACAAAATATAGTCATTTCACTTTGCAGAGATTTGGCTATATCCTGTGAAGTGCTTTGAGATGTCTCGAAGACGTGATAAGGCGCTATGTCAAATGCAAGGATTATTATTATTATATATTTATTAACTGAAATTTTAAGGACTAAATGATTGGACATAGCACACAGGTTCTGGTACATTGTGAAATGCAACACACATAAAACTGTTCCTGCACTGCAAGCTCTAATTCCTGGGGAAATGAAGAAGCATTAATTCTACGGAGCACATTAAACATACAATTACAAGGTCTTAACCAAAAGCAGTATTCATTTGTACTTAAAAAATATTAAAGGCTTTGTTCACAGTCCCCAATACTCAATCTAATTATGATCTAACAAAAATTAATGAGATGATTATTCAGCAATCATTAATCAGCAAAAAAAATTCTCTATCCTCCACTTGCGATTTTTTTTGCTTCGAACAATCCTCATCTTACCTTACTCTGGCTCCAGAAGCACTGGTAGGTGAGGCTGAATAGTTTGAATCATCGTCTTGACTTGTGCTATAATGAATTCTCCCGTTCTGCTGAGATCCTGAAACACACAGAGGTAAAGACAAGCACACACAATAATTTGATCGTAATCAGGGCCAAGAGCTTGCGTTCGCAGCAAAAATATAAGACTTGAAACACATGACTGCTCTAAACCAACTCTGAATTGATTCAGATGGAGTTCATTTAGTTTCATCTGTGCAGAACTTTTTTTTCCCCTTCGACAGATTAACCATGACGCACCACAAATGAAAAAACAAAATGCTTGCATCAGGATACAAAGTACATAAAACAGATTTCTCAAGACAGTTAACCTACAAACCCTGCAGAAAATCATATAACTAAACTCAACCTCTAGGTAGATATCTCTAAAGCAGACTTACACAGCTGAATCAGCACAGCAAACAGGGAAGCAAAAGCTAACGAAGCCTCAAAATACAGAATGTGAACAAACAACTGTTTAAATTTGTTATTGGGTTGACAAATATCACAAGCTACTGTGATCGTGCAAGCAGTTAAGCACGCAGTCAAGTATTTCCATATGAGAACTCAAATGAATCTGGCCTCTGCCAGGCATAGTGTCTCTATTCCAAAAAAATAAATATAGGGACTTCTAATTTTAAATTCTTAGCTTTTGATTTCTTCTTTTTTTTATTTATTTGAATAAATAATTAATTTAACAATAATATATGCCACTCTACAATTAACAAATGTAAAAGACAGTTAACAGAAATTACCCCCAGCAACTTCGGAAGGACAATATTTGGAAGCTTAATACAGCAGTGCCTCAACCACCATTAATGTTTTTTTAAAAATTAGATTAAATTAAAATATTGCAATCAAGGGACCGTAAACCACAAGAGGGAAACGTGAGTAGCTTCTAAAGGTCATCTGAAGTCAGAAATGATTGTGTCAAAATCATGCCATCAGTTACTTTATAAAACTAAGAGCAAAATGAAGTTTGACATTAAATGCAGATTCCTACCCGTTTTCCCTACATTTAGTGACAACCTAGTAGATACTCAATGCGCTGTTAAATCAAGACACGTTCACAAAAGACAACTAATTGTTGTAACAGTAATGCCGCAGGTTTAACATGAAAGCAGAATTTTAAGGCAAACATTGGCAGACTATAACCAGTATAGAAGTTTACTGTCTCAGCAGCTTCAGGCTTTCTTCTGCAAGGAGGTGAGTGTTCAGCAATGAGAGGGAGCTGGGAGAATATACTCCAATGCCGCATTCAACCCTTATAAACTTGAAATCATTCAAGAATTTGTGGAGTTGGAGTTAATAATAATAATCATCCTTGCATTTGATTTAGCGTTTTATTACACCGTTGAGCCGTCTCAAAGCACTCACAGGATATATTGTAAAGTGGATTGACTGGTATTTTGTGGGCGAAATGTCTTTTTAAGATCCGATATATTACTTAGAATATGAAGATTTTGTCCTGTAATTTCCTTTCAAAATGTTTTTTCTTGAAATGCGCTTGAAGGCTATTTCAAGAGAATTTCTTGTCAATCGTGTAGCATGATCATTAAACAAACTCAAATCTTATTTTCTAAATGAACAGTGAAAGCCTTAATGTTGCAACAATTGTTTTTTGATGGTGAAACCCCACTGTTGGCTTCAAAGTTCTAAGCATGCTAAATGATGATTTGGGTCATGATGTTGCAAAATCTTCAAAATACTGCTACAGCCTTCATTACGTCACAAACAGTCTGTACACATAAAAACATCAGAAGGGAGCTAATCAAATCTGTAAAGCAATTTACAAAGGCAGCATACAGCTGGAATGGGGTGGAGCTAAAACTTGACAGATCTCATCAAACATCTGTTTAATACAAAATCAGTACGATCCCTGTGCAATATTTGTGGTGCACTGCAATTGCAGTTAATAATTAATAAATGATTGCACCCCAGCCAAGAAGATTGTTAAAAAATATATAAAACACATTCTTTAGAAAGAAAAACATTTATTTAAAAATTAGATATGCCTGTAATAAAAGAACATCTTTTGATCTGTAACAGATCTTTCTCCATATTGAAAGCTCGGTGTACAACAAATTAGTCCACAAAACTAACTATCCTCCCGGGCTGGGGGTGGGGGGAATGTAATAAAGAATCCTATCTATTTCAAGACAATGCTAGGTTTTCCTGTATTTTCAGTATTTTTAATGCAATGAATTAAGTTAACAGAAAAGGTGTTGGAACCATTTTAGAGGATCTCTGAAGTTAATCGATAACTTAATGAACCAAAATTTTCGTCTCTCATCTGGTTTGCTAAATCACTGTTATAAACTACAAAATGCTTACTGTAAATAAATAAACACACAAAGATTTAGAAACGTTGTGCAATATGTTCAACTATCTTTAAATCTGATGCTGATTTTTATATAATTACACACAATACACAGTCAAACCACTTTATAGTAAATCCTGTGAAGCGCTTTGAGACGACTCAATGACGTAATAAGGCTCTATATCAAATGTATGAAATTAAAATCCTCTTAATATTTTTTGTTAAATTTAATACTATTTTCTCATGATCCTTCGAAGTAAAATTCAAGTAAAAATGTTAAGGGTCAAAAATCTAAACTTAAATCTCATAAGATTATCAATGTGACAGTTTTTACTTTTTATAATGAGTTTACACACACTGCTCAACTATATACAAAAATTGCTCTAATTAAGTTTGCTTCAAACCAATTTCATATATAAAAGCAATTTAAGATGATTCTGGAAAGAAAGACTAGTAATAGAAAACTGCAAACAAAGTTAATTTCAATTTAGAACTTTGAAAGGAATCTTGCAACTTTAATACCACAAACATCACAAAAGTGTTTTATTTCTTGGAGAAAAAAAATCATACTTACCAGTTTTTTAACACTACCTACAAAAAGGAATATATACTCTCATTGAAAAGCTACAAACCAATTAAGGTGCATTAAACAATTTCGAGTGTATAACCCATCACCCTCGCTCCCAGCATCAGAATGAGTCGGTGTATATTGCACTTACTTTCTGTCGTGATGGTGCCATTAGGCAGACTTCCCAAATCAACATTGAGGCCATCCAGGCAAACAGTCAGTTCACCACTGCACACAACGCCACCTTTGTTTCCCACCTGGAGATTCAAATTCAGCTGAATGTTCTCCACTGTGAGCAAGAAACAAAAATGTCAGGAGAAAGATGATTTGTGGTTTTTTTTACTTCTTTTCAGTTTGTTGTGAAACAACCTTGCCAGCATGTCGTTGTCACCCATTTTCTACAGACAAAGAGCGCCTGTTACAACACAATTATTACAGGACGTTAAAAAGACAAGGATTTACTATCTGACACATAGAGATGGACTTTGCAAAGCTGCTCTACACTTTCAAATGGTGGGGGGCGGGGGGAAACTTTACTTCCACCCCTACTTTTTGGTCCCTTCAACTACAGGAAGACTCCTAACCAAGTGAGTGGATGTATCTATACCACTATACTTTGCTCAAGTTACAAAACACACACATACACATACACACAATCTGCCCGGATTAGTCCCATATCAATTTCCATCAGTGGGAGAATATCTACCCTTTTCCCTTACTTGGTTCCACTGCCTCATGGTTTTACTGAGATTAGGAGCTCATTGGGGCAGCAATTATGGCTGTAAACCTGGAACTAGCATTGTACAGCAAAGCGTTCTTGTACATCACAGGGTACTGGCACTATATTATCTTCACTAACTATAACTACAAAATAAATTTGATGGATTAGGTAACATAATACAAGCCATTTCTGCATTCACAAAACAAAGTTATGTACAGTTTGACTACCATAAACCTATTCTGACAAGTCACCTATAGAATTTCACCTCTTCAAAATATGCATCCTCTAATCAAAGTATGCTCTGATTAAAGTCAAACTCTTATTACATCATTCTTCCAGCAGAAATGCTTGCAAAATGTTCAAAGGATGCAAGAAAATGCCTTGTTGCCCAAAAGTATCAACCTGACCCATGGTTTAAATAATCCAAATGCTACAGCTCCAATCAATAAACAAATAAATAAATAAATACATTTTACAGTCTTTAATTTTGTTTCTGCACTCCTTTACAAAATTTAATCTGCTCCTGGATTACAAGTTCAAGGGACCTATAAAGTTTCAGTATCAATGGCCATGTACGTGTTTAGCCAAATGTGTTTTCTCCCTATGTGATCCTTAGATAACAACAACAAAATTACATATGTATAGAGTCTTTCACATCAGGAGGACGTCCCAGGCGCTGAGAATGACCGTCTGCCTGCAGGTTATTTCACTGAAGGAAAAGGGGATGTCAAACATTGAGTGGACACCAATATTTTCATCGTCTTATGCCCAAAGGTACTTTTAAGGTCATTTTTCACTCCGACGAATTGAGCCAATTGCAAGATCTTACAACTGCCAAGGCTGAGATCAGTACTGATTGAAAATCAAATCTGGAAAACAATGTCTTAATGACCCTCCATATCAGGGATTGTACTTTTTTTTTAAAAAAAGGGTATTTTATTCTCTATACCTAATTTACCATCTTAAATTTCATCCTAGAATATTATTGCATTAAATGTGTTTTCTCAATGATTTTGTATTAAACACTCTATTAAACACTCATCAACTCTCCCAATTCCACCCAAACTTTCAAACAATGTTGCTCTGTTCCTGACCTGGCAGGACACCGCATTAAGTAAGATACTTTACAAATGCGGGTAAGTGATGAAATGCAAAAGCTATAAATTGTGACAAAATGACAAGAACTGCATTAAGTAATTCCATCAAGCCTTTCACAAGTCCCAGGATTTACAGCTAATTTTAAATCCAGTATATAATGCAAAGAGATTTACTAAAGTCACAGTAATAGCTCTATGCTTTTACTTTGAAGCAATCAAGAATCATAAATTGCAGTTTTGTAAATGGGGTAAAGTTTATTTCTGCTCAACAGCACCCCCCCACCCATAGACATCTAATGAGCAATTAAATTCAGAATTTAGTTAAGTCCCCATCTCATTATAACATATCATTTCTGAATTGTGGATATAATCATCACAAAGCAGTGTAAATTGCCAATTGTGGATTGCCCTGAGGATGAAAAGTACCATGGGATACCTGAAGTAAGGAAAAATACTGAAACAAAATAAATAGCAAATGTGATGAACTTTTTAAAGATATTGGTGTAATGATGTTATTAGATTTATAAATCAATTCTCTGTATATCCATTTTCTACAGAAATCCAGCAGAGTAGAGCTCACAAGTCACACTTGTGACTTGGATCAGTACAGCTCAACATTGTGAATTTTGTCAGAAAGTCAGATTTTTTTTTAAACACAGTTGTTCATTGAGAGACAGCGCCATGGAATACAATCTTGCAGGGATTGAAATCTATATTCACAAATCAATTCCCAGACAGAATACACCTAGGACAGTTGTTAATTTCTAAAAGGCAGCTGAAATAAAGTGATTCAGTTCGTCTAACAAACAAGGAGGTTTTATCACAGCTTTATTATTGAGGGAGTGAATAGCAGTACAATTGTGAACTGTAATATCGACTGAGGCCAGCTGGAAGCCATTTCTGAACATTTTCAAATACCATAAATAGCAATTAATGGTTAGGGGATTTGTGTTTGCACATAAAGTGTGGCCTTCCCTCTGAATGCTACAGGCTCTGTAATTTGTTTGAGCAACAGATGTGAGCAATTATATACAAGGATAAGATCATTTTTTAAAAAATGACACCTTTGCATCCCAAGCTTTCAATCATAGGATAGTGCTAGTGTACTATGAAGAAAACTGCTCCAGGTTTCACCTTCTTCCCAACACTTCAACCTCCAGGACCACAGCCCCTACTCATGAATAACCATGATGCCTCAGCCAATGTAAATTAATGTAGTATCCTTTAAGCGCTTACAACACTCAGTATTTGGCACAGAATACAATTGTATGCATCTGCCACCATTATAAATATGGGTTAAACATGATTCAATTGCCACAATGCACTTTCAAAAGACTATTATAATCACTGCATGATTTTTCTTGTTGTGCGGTGAGTGTAACTAACAATAAAATAATTTAGTGAGACAACTATTAGCCGTGGTGTACTGTGACATGTCATGATGTCATGATGAAAGCACATTAGGTGTCAATTAAACTGAGTTTGTAGGAAGGTGGCACATGTAAGTATTCCCAAAGCCAAATGCAACAGACTGACAAGGGTACAGATACAACCCAATTTCTCCTTCTGTGGCCATGCATATGAGTCAGAAGCTAAGGACAAGTCAGACACTTCATGGCAATAGGAGGATATTGAGAAGGTGAGAGGAAATCAGTTGCGTCTCCATCACATCACTTAGCAAAAATGTTTTGGCAGAGGACTGGAGAACAAATTTACAGCCTATTTGCCTCATTTGCTAGAAAGTGGTACAAGGTTTGGTGGCACATGAAGGAACGGGGAAAATAAGAAAAAAGTGAAAGGAAAAGTAATCATCAGTTGTTTTGACCCATCCACATTTTTTGTGTTGCCAGATAAACAAATCAAGCAGTTGTACTGAAAATAGATATCATAAATCTTCACTTTTTAACATAATTAATACTTCCATGAAACATGTTTTTTTTGCAATTTGTACTAAAATAAACCATTCCCGCAACACTCTGGCACTGGTTAAAAATAATACCACAAACCTAAATCTGTCTGGCCTGCCACACAAAAAGCACAATTTAATCCCGCTTTCACGTTTCTCAAAATAAGGCTTCAAACCTATCAGCTGTTGTTACAAAATCAGATTGGCCAACTGAATGATTATTTAATTGATCATAAAATCCACAGAAACATGAAACTTTCGCAACATGACAGAGAAATACACACATGTCTGCAGTTACTTTCGTCTGGATGCATTGCCAATTTCCCTCCCAGTAGCTCAGTCTTAATATAAAACAGTCAAGAACTTATCTGTTCTCAATTGTGGAACTTTTCAATCTGTATTTGACATCTTTCATTCAGAATTATATTAGGAGCGATCAGTCACTCCCATTTCAGCTGCTAACCTTCTAAACCTCGAGGCTACGTTTGGTTTTGATTTAAGAAAGATTTCAATCCCAGTGCTCAGTTTCCTCCTGTCAACTGAATGTCGGCAAGCCTTTGCAACACAAACCAAATCTCAGCTTAGTTCATTCACTTTTTGAGAAGGTAAGAGTTCCTGCCACATAGGAGCCAGAACTTGCCACATTTCTGGATAATCAGTAACCTTTTTGTTTAGTAATTGTAGCAGTAATTCAATTATATAAAAATCATCATGTAGGGATTACCACAGTCTTCTGTGACTAATAAACCTTTGTGAAAACGAGAACTCACACTTTCCATTGTTCTTCTTTAATATGTCACAGACGTCAATGGATACGTTTCCAAATAGTTCATTTTTCAAGGTATGGCTGTTCCAGACTTTCAGCTCCAATCGGCTCTGTGGTGTTACATTCCTAGGGTGAAAAATATGCGATTACTGTAGACAGAAGAATTCAGCACAGACATGGAAACATCCAAACACCTCTGAATTTCCATTGGAGTTTTTTACAGTCTATTTACATCACCCGAGATTGAATTTTATACCCTGTTTACATAGCCAAGCTGGTCCCAGAGTAAATCCATCATAGAGAGAAAGTCAACACAATCGTGGCAGTAAAAGCAATGCTAAAAAAACACTCTCTGCTTTCATACTGCCACAGAAACACAACACGAGTTGGGTAAGTAAAGGGGATAAAAAAAAGCGTTTCCCCTGAGAAGAGACGTGTAAGCAATTTTTTTACCCCAGGAGTCATTCATGTTAGGTCTTTTGAACTTCTTGGTAGTTAGCTACAAGTGGAAGTCTGGGAGCAAGTCATCGAACACAATTAGGGCGGTGGCGTATGCTGGGCCGTGGCGTACACTGGGGGGTGGCGTACACTGGGGGGGTGGTGTGCAGAAGAAATTGGGAATCAAATAGAGTGGAAAAAAGTTCATACAACTTCTAAAGCATTGAAAAGTCGACTTATTGGTTTGATTGAAATGCAATGCTACATGTGGCCCAGAATACACGACAACAAGGGACATGCTTTTAACAAGATACAAAGAGGCTGGTCTGGCAGCTATGCCACTTTGGTTAATCAAAAGATCCAGGAGAAACAGGGTACATTATAGTTAAATAACTGAAGTAAAAGCTGGATTGACTGTGTAAATGGGATGAAGAAACCATGAGGGACATGCAGAAACATGAATTTCAAGAAATTAAGAGTGTCAGAAGCTCTTACAAGGTTAGTGTCTCATTCCACTGTGGATGAAGGTTTCCGTTTCGTTTTCCAGTTTTCTTAGTTTCACTTTGCAGTCCGTCCACTGTCACTTCAATGTAACAACTGATCCTCGTTCCTTTCTGGACTATAAGTTTGGCTTTTAAGACTAAGTGAATGAAAATACATAAAATGAACAACAGAATTGTAAAATATTACAATTTTCTAACATAATGTATATTACAAATTAGAACAAGCAAGTATTTGGCAATAAATATATAGTCATTACACCCTATAGCAATATCCTGTGAAATGCTTTGAAACGTTTCCTACCCCCAACTCGGGTGCAAACCCTTAAGTGTTCCGTGCCTTGGGACATCCGCCCAGCTCCACTGGCTCCCCATCCCTCAGAGGATCAAATTCAAGATCCTCATCCTCACTTTAATTTAATTTTGTTGTTGTTGTTGAAAGGCGCTATAGAAATGCAATTTGTTGTTGTGGTTTCAATGAAGCAATAAGGTGCTACAGAACTACAAAATACATCTACAAATTCTTTCTAAGGGACTGTGTAAGATGTTATTCACATGACATGTTCCTGCATTAACACACTGTGCACTATGAAGAGGCAGGACATGAGAGCTCCCATAGTGAGCTCCATTTTACTTGGCCCATAAAATGGAGGGCAAACACTTCCTTATAAGAAACAGGATGGGGTGAGAAATTGACAGATGATTCATCTTGTGGCACTCTTCTACATCTTGTAGATTGCCCGGAAAATAGGATATGAAATCATATGAAGGATTATATTTTTCAGTAAAATTAGGTGTTCCTATTTCTTCTCCTTTGAGCCAGTTCACCATTACGTTGCTGCTCAGCTGAGATCATAGAGTAGTCTGGCCCATTCCCTCCCTCTGTGAACTTCAATTTTACTCCAATCCACTGGCAGGAGATGCAGAGAATCAAGAGAATCTCAGGCTTTCCCTCTCAAAATGAAACACCCTGGTTCTGAAAGTCACTCCATCAAGGAGCCAAAGTATTAATGCAACTGAGGAAAATTAATTTTGGTGCAAGCTTAAACACAACATCTGTTTGTTAAGAATTAATTATTCATTCACTTGATGGAACACCGAAGCTGCATCACGGGGTTTGCTTCTTAACTGCTTTTCTACATTAGTCATTATAATCATGGAGTCCTGTAGCTCAGTGGTTAGAGCACTCGCTTTGCAAGCGAGAGACCTGAGTTCAATTCCAGGCAGAGGGCGAAACCTTGGGCAAGTTTCCTTACTCCACACACAGCCCTAATAATAATCCCTCCAAAACCAAAAACAATAATAAATTGGTCTTTTTCAATCTACGACTGTTTGTGGGACATTGCTGTGCGCAATTGGCTGCCGCGTTCACCCACAAATATATAGTCAATTCAGTTTACAGTGTGTTCAGCGCCTTGGGACGTCCTCCCGATGTGAAAAGCGCTATATCAAATGCAAGGATTATTATTATTATAATCTAAATTCTCACTTATATTTTTTTACAAATATAACACACTTTTAATCATTCATTCGTATATACTGCACTTCCAGGCAATCTTGAAGACATATATATTGTGGCTCACGCAGAAATAGAAACTACTTCCCTAAAGGGACGGAAAGTCAATCTTCAGTAAATAAATGTGACTTCTAGAGGCCAGTTTCCGAGTCCTATCGGAAGACATGAGCAAGTCATCCACTTATCCTATCAAGTCACAAAGGCCAAATTTGAACAAAAAACATATGAAAAGGTACATTACATTTTTGTGCCAACATTAGACAAACATGTTTAATAGGCTCAACATATGAGATCACTGTTCAAAAATATACTCTTGAGTAAAGGCCATTTAGGAACACCCCCACTGTCTGGAGTTTCAGAACTGCCAGCTGAATTAAGTGCCAAATCAAATAAACTACTATATAAGCAAAAAAAAACTAAGCGGAATGTGTCACTTTTTAAGATGGTTCTAATTATTTCCTCAAATAAATTTTCAAGCTCTTCAAAAGACCTTTGATTTTAAAAAAAAATTACCTCAAACAAAGAAAAGTCTTTTTTTAAATACATTTGCACTAAAATCTAATGGGCTAAAATGTTTTTTCCATGTTTGGGGGGAGGAGACCAACAATCATTTCTATTTGGTAGCAACAGTGACACCTAGTGTTAACATCTCCACCAGTCTGTCTATGCTACAGTACTCCATAGTAGCACCAATCTCTGCTGAGTAGCTCTTTCTGTATTTCACTTTCAAAGCTCTTCCTCTATCGCTCCACCTTGCCCCTTCCTTCTCCATCTTCAGGTCGCGCCTGAAGACCTTCCTATTCGACCGTGCCTACAGCCACCTCCCACTGGCTCAGTGTCGTGCTCCGCCACTGTCAAGCACTCTGGGACACTACCCTGCGTGAGGGGCGCTATATAAATGCAAGTTGTTTTTGTTGATCATGCTAACCCAACCTGCCTTCTCCTCTCTTTTGTCTCTTCTAGATTTATAGTAAGTACTTTTCTAAGTAACTCTAGGTGCTGTAAATGATTACATTACCTGTCAAAAGCTTGCAATTACATTCAATTTCAAATCCTGCATGAGATTCACATAAGAGTGTTTACAGTGGTATGGATCAAAACTTGCTCTTTATAGGGCAATATTGCTCTTTTTTGGACAATACAATAATTACGAGCAAAATTGCTGAGATACAGTGGAGTTGCTTAACTTTATCTTAGAAATTCAAATATAAACAACTCTCAATACTTACATTTCCTTAGTTGATACGATCATGTTGAATTGCAAATAAAATGTGCAACAAGTGTGAATTTGCAACAGAAGCATAAGTAACCCACGAGGTTCTAACTGGAAAAATATTTTGCATATTTTTGTTTGAAGTGATAAATGCTGTTGACAAACGGGTGAGTTATTGGTGAAGACGTGAGCTGAACGTTTACAGACTAAGCATGTGCTTAATGAGTTTCTACATCAACCCAGCCGCCTCAAATCACCAGTCTCGAGAAATGGCTTCGAGGAATTAACAGAATTGTCAGTCCGACGAGTTTAACTAAAGTCAGGAAAAGCAATAGAAAACAAAAAGAAAAGTGATATAAATGGCGTCACCTAAAGCTGTATGAAAGGTAATTTCTAGAGCTCTTGTGAAACCCTGGAATAGTGAATCTCCGCATTGTCAAAGTGTGAATTTATTTTATTCCATGATTGGAATATAGTCCTGCACTAATATTCTGGCATTCATATCGGCCATCATACATGTAATTTCCATGCAAAAGGTCAGATAATCAGTGTTTATACAAATGAGTAGACAATGGGATTATAAATGGAACACAAAAATACAGAGCGGTTTCCTGTCTTATGTTTGTCTGGAAAAGAGCCTCCTGTAAACATCCACAAAAAAAATCCCCGAAATTGCAATTAAGTGCGTGGCTTTCATTCCTCGACTAAATTGTATTGTATTATATTGTATTGTATAATAAAAACGTCCCCTGCCCTATTTAAATTTATGAACATATTTTATCATTTTCATTCTCAAGTGAGGTCCAAAGGAACTCAGACAAAAACATTTCTGTCTTTTCATCAGAGATTTGGAATTATGATTATGGTGAGATATTAATGAGGAAAGTGTTCAAACATCAAAAGTAGTTATCTGGTCAGGGAGATACACTATGATATCAAAGAAACAATACTACAGAGCTCCCCGTATAAGCCACTGTTGGGATGGGTTGTGCGGATTTAGTTTAGTCAGTGTTACATCAGTATATCATTCTCAACCACTCATACAGAGCACCGCATGTATAGAGCACCCAGCATTTGGTTGTAACCTGTTAAGAGTACTTTAAAAAAGTAATATTAATGTTACAAAATTGGAAAGATAGATAATAAAGAAATAGGAAGGGAAATGGAGTGGACAAAATGAGCAGAATAGAATATTGGATAATTATTAATACTACTATTGGATAACATAACAGCTCTGCGCATTCAAATAGCTTTATTAATGCAACTACAATACAATACGTCACAAAAATTCCCAGCTGAAAATTAGCCAAACCAGTTAATCTAGAGATCAGAATTTCCCTTGACCTGCTGCCAACCTAAGGATTCATTATTTCACTAATATATTGTTCTATTGAAACCTGAAGTGAATCTGTTCATTGAATGAGGTTATGTTTCTGTTCAGTTGTAATTTTAATCCTGTTTTGAGCACTCCATTATTGCAGAGGATCACTTGGACGATTGAGTTTAAATTCTACTTGTGTATGTAGTGCTTTGTGTTAACCTCCATGTTCTATCCTCACCTTAAACGCATCTACATACATAAAACACTTATATACATCTGTAATTACTCCTAAAGTTTCTAACTATTAACATTTTTCAAACAAGATCTGCTTCTACCACTCAAACACCAATTAATTTTCTGCTGAGTTTTGACACCATAAAACACTGAAATTAATGCAAAATTGAACCATACTAAGGTTATCAACAGTATAGTTCTAAAAACAGAGACATTAAATATGAACAATAGATTTCAGGAAATAGTTCCTGAATGAAATATATTAAAGGGTTTGTGCTACTAGAACACTGATGTGTTTTTCCGCAGTAGGCTGCATTATGACTCACAGCAAAATTTTGTGCTTAATCTTTAACTGCAACAGACAAGTGCCAAGAGAAACATAGCTGTCTCATTTCTAGCAAGGATTACGTCAATAGATGACACGAGTGCAGACAATGCCAACACTTCCCTTATTGACAAATCATTTTTTATAGTTTTCAAGATGGTTTTAGTTTAATTTAATAAGTGCACGAACAACACTGATCAAGGAGAAAAGTCTCCAATTACCACAAAATATTTATGACTTTAGAAATAAACATTTAAAAGAGGATAAGCTTTATAATGCTTGTTCAGAGTTAACCAATAATTAAAATATTTTAGTATTTGAGAAATAAGACACACAAATTGAGCCCATAGATCAGGGTTCTTCTGGGTCTGCAGTGCAGCTCTTCAAAGGCAGAACTGATTCCCAATCAACAAGTTTTAGTCTTACAATGGGTGGTTAGGTGCCCAATCTCTGATAGAGGCAGTGTTTCAGCTGGTTCTTGTAATTCCACATTAAAAAGGAGCAGCCACAGACTTAATGTCCGTTGTATCCAAGCCAATAATTCTCCACCAATTTTGAACCCATATACTGTACCAACTTATTCTGATTGTCAGAGCTCGACTTTAAAATACTCTGAAACATAGATTGAGCATTCCCATCTCTGCAAACAATTCTTTGGAGAAGCATCACTGTGCATAATATAAGCCTTGTTGCTTGAGAGTTTCCTGAAACCAAAGAAAATCGAAAAACTGCAACCAAAAGCTGTAAATCTGCTTTCAGTTTCACACATACCAGTACCCTCCACCCAGATAATGGAGATAATGCTGAAATAATTCATCTGCAGAGAATGATAAGAATTAAAACGTAGGTTCTGAGGAAATTGTTTCATATCTGTGCTGGCACCTGTAGTTACTGCGAGCGAATGAGTTAGCACTACCAAATGCCTTGATAAGATAGTAGAACTTACTTTTCAAAATCAGCAGCGATTTCTCCAAGGTCTGGTCACTCCCAGTGACACTGGAACTGGCAGCTGCCATGACATCACAACCCTGAAACAAAACAAATATGTTTCATTAACTTTAAATTAAAAGGGTTGCTTCCTCATTATGCATTACTTTTTAATCTCAATCTCTTAATTTTCATCTTCCACCTTTCTAAATCTACAGCACTTCTTTTATTCTTGTCAATTGATGTATAATTCTTACAGCATATATTCGTTCTGGAATCATTTAGTCTTTTCTCTCTGCTGAATGGAGCATTTCCTTCTTTCATTGTTTCATCTGCAAGATTACAAGAATTGCCACTTGGACCCAAAATGTTACGATGTGAAACAGAATTTAATGAGCTGTGAGCTTTAATTGCATTTCTTTTACAAGTTTTATTACTTGAAGCAAAGTTTTACATAACCACATAATGAATATTATGACCCAATTGGTTCAGAGAAGAATTGGCAGTGACTCCACTTTTACCCCCAAAATACAAATGCAGTTTATAAGTGGTCAAGGATTTTGTTGTTTGCACTGGGTACCAAACATAACACATTTTCTAGGCAAAGATCTTCCAATATGTTGCAATAGGTTGGTCCTTCGGTTGCTCATTTAGATCAACTAGGTTTTGTTAGAGCAGAACTACTCCAGAAGACCCAGTGCTTACAAATAGATTTGCAAGCTTGCAGAAAGACTACTCCGATGGCTACAGAGAAGATACCCCTATGGCTATCAAAAGTATCAGTAGATAGATACTGATCGAATTAAAGTGGTCATACCTGCAGGAGTACAATACTGATTTGGATTTGTCATCTATACTACTATGCTGATAAAGTGTGCGCCACAAAGAGGTGGCTTTTGTAGAGCCACCGTAAGGCCAATTGAAACTGAAATATTCTTGCCAACAAGAGGCAAACACAGCTATGACTGCCAGAAGACTAAACAGTTAAGCTCACCCATACAGTCCAGCCAGATACATGTTCACAAAACACAACTTAAAAATCCAAAGGCACAGTATTTTTTAATGTTGATGCAGTTTCTGCAGGATCTGTCTCGCAACATAACCTGGGATGTTAGCCAACACTGCAGCACCACTTCTAACTGTTATAGAAGTGTGATTAAATTAGGTGAATGGCCTCAGGAGGGATATATCTCACAGCCCTTATGTATTAGAGGTACTAAACATTTAAAAAAAAGTTGAGTGCCAAGCCACACAGAATTTTACATGTAGATGACGTTTTGCTTTGTCTGTTTAGATCCAACTTCCTCATCAAGGGGTTTGCTCAGACCTGGAGCTATTTGCTTGGCTATTAAATGAAATGGAACAAGTCAGAAGCCAAATACTTATGGCTGCTGCGCCCTCCACCTCCTATTTTTCATTAACTATTCAACCCTCCATTTCTAGGTGAAGAACCGAATTAAACATCTGGAAATTACATTTATGCCAGAGGTAAAGACCTTTATAGTACTCAATCTTGCATCTCCATGGAAATGAACACCAGCTAATTTCTCTGTAGGGCTGCATTGAAATAATTAAAATGAATACTGTATAATTTTAGAACTAAACTACATTTGGCCTATCAAAAGAAACCCTCTATTTAAAAACATTATTTAAATGCTCTCACTGAGAATAAGAGGGAAGGAACACAAACCAGCTCTCAATAATATGTTTACAACCTCCACAGTTTTTACAATAAGTGGTCCAAGATCCTAGTTTTATATAAACAAAAATAAAAAAGCAGTAGAAACATATAATTCCATGTTCCATGATACAACAACAAAACTACATTTGTATAGCGTTTTTCAGGTCAGGATGACATCCCAAGGCACTGGACAATCTGTGTTTTGGATGCACTGAACATCAAAGTCTTGGAATTGAGCTCCTTCCCACTCATGAATAGGAGTTTAGCTTTCAGATATTTTTCCTACTTTTTTTCTACTTTGTCCCTAATGCAACTAAAAGGTGGAGGGGGTTAGTGAAGGCTCAACTACAGGAACTGTATCTCACTTTGCAGTATGTTCTGTGAAGCGCTTTGAGACGTCTAGAAGACATGAAAAGCGCTATACCAAATGCAAGAATTAGTATTATATTATTTTAGATATGGTGGGATAAAAATCCAATCTCAAAAAATTCACGTTTTAAACGTTTGCAATTAAAGTCAAAGTTGGCCAAATCTTTTTTTTCTTCCAAATTGGAAATCTTACTGGAGAAACAAAAAATAGAAATACATTACTGCAAAACCTTCCTGCAGAGCACAGTGAGCTTGATATCTAGAAAGTTTCAGAATTCTTAGGGTTCTGACAGTACGACCAAAATAGGCCCAACTCAAACTCTAAGCCTCAGACATACCGGATACATTACCAGACTTCTACATCATAAAAACGTTAACACTCAAGTGTCTGAAGAAAATAGAGAGTAATTGAAAAACTTATATGTGAACTTTGAATTATTTGGGGAGATTCACTTGAATGAGCCCCGAGTATTTAGCTCTCTTTATACACAGGATTTGGACTTCATGTCAATAGCCATTGCCCGTCTTAAAAAAGTAAGAAATAAAAGTTGCTAATTATTCCACGACAATGTTCAATGGGGAAAATCAACTTGACAATGAAGGCAAAAATGTATTCCGAAATATAATTGTACAGCTATCACTGCCAAAGTCATGTTCAAAAATCAGTTTTTAATTATACCAGTGCTTTGCAAATCCATTATTACCATTATTTCATATATGGTGTTGACAATGAGGGCACTTTCTAAAAAAAAGTCTCACTCATCAGTAAAAATGAAAAACAATAACTTTCCATTTACTTCAAAGCTAAATGTGAAAGCACTTCAATAGTTATGATTATATTTTCCTTTGTGTCCAGATGATTAATGATGCTGACACCAAGAATGGTGAGCAGGACATCTGGGACCTAAACATATAGCCTTTATAATTTTACCATTTATTGGAATGTGAGAAGATTATTAAATTGATCTTACACGTGGCAGATCATTTTAATACTCTGGCACCCAAAAAGAGTCATGTATCTTTGGTTTGAGTTTTACTGCTGCTACTCACTGGTCCAAAATATTCCATAAACACTGAAGATAGGTTCTCTTGCTGTGAGTAGATCAACGACAGACTTAACAAATCACTGGCAAAGGAGAGGTATTCATCTCACAAAAGAGGAATGAAGAAAAATTATTGCTAAACACACCATTACACAAGCCCCCATAATAGTTACTGTAAGCTTAATAATCTACAATTGAGAAATTTCTAGCAAGAGGTCATATGTAGTCAGGGGACAACAGTAACGTTTCTAGGTACTTATTTACTTTGCAGGTGATCAAAGTGGTTTGCTAAGTTAAACAGAAAAAAATTCTCATAATCTTTCAAATATCCATAATTAGAGCCCCACAAAATTCTTTTTATAATTTGGTTTAAATTTTCCAGGGAATTTCATGTCATTTTGTTTTATCCATTAGAAGTGCTGTTTTATTTCTTTGTATTTGAATTGTATTAATAAATACCTCAAATGACTGTATATAAATAAAAACTCTAAGCCTTCCTGAAGCTGAACGCTCATTTGGGCACAAAACCAACAAATCACAAAAACAAAGTGTACTGGCATCAATGGGGGGGATGCAACCCGGATTTTAAGATGTTACTGCCCTCCAAATTCCCCACATCCTTTCCTAAGGTGCAGAATTCTCCTGAATTACTAGTTTTAATTAAATGACTGTTTAACACACAGATAATGAAATGTCTGCTGTTTCATTGTCAGGCCACAAGTATACCTCTGGTATTTAACACAGCCCATAAGCTTTCTGCTGAAAAAGGCACAGGATGTCACAATAGCTCCATTTAAACACTCAATATTTCACTCCATTTGCAGATGGATTGTAAAATGTATCTTCAAGCAAATCAGCTGGCATAAAGAGCAACACCAATGAGAACGGAGGGTGAGAGAGGAACTCAAATTTATCATCAAAACTGAAGAAACACAGACAATACTAAAAGCAAACACACTGGTAATCAATATATGAAAGCTGTGTGGATAATAACCAACCACACGTTATAGTATTATAATTATTCTTCATTATTGTTGCTGTACAGAAAAACGCTTTGTCACAAAAGGAAATTTTTATGCTATTCCAATAAGAATTGACAAGTGGCAACTAGTCTTCCAACTGCAACTCTGCGAATTTGGTTTGTTATTGAAATGCTAGGAATGTCGTTTCAGTGTTATTCATACCCGAATTACACGAGCATTTGTGTCCAGACCAAAATTTACAAATCAATATATTTCTTACGTCTACAATGCTCAATTATGTTATTTATCCCCACCCTTGAGAATAATTGTTTTTGGGTCATAATGTTACAAGTGTCGCTCCCTGCACTAAAATGTTAGCTCTCTCTCAGCCCATGTTCAGCGTGCAAGAAGTGTCATCCATCGGGACCCAGAAGTTGGTGATTTTTGTGGTACAAAACGTTTCACAATGAGAATTAACTTTCTCTGATTGGAGAATGTTGGCAAAATAAGAATACCGATTTGTACCGGTTGAAATCAGAAATCAACATGTATGAACCACTCTGAAGGGATCAATTAGCAAATTTTATATTCTCACATTGTAAGTCAGAACATGGTCTGCACTATACTCCAGTATTTGAAGAATAGCCAATTTCAATAATTTATTCCCAATTATCATCTTCCAACTGTCATGGATCAGCTCTGTAGTGCCATGGCAACATTTTTATTCTTTATGAGCCAAAGGAAGGTTATAATGATCCACCATTGACTGTAATGCTTCATATCTTACCTGACAGTGGATAAGATAAATCTATGCTATATCTTGGTGGGTGGAAAAAGTGTAACATTGCAACACTTGACAAAGGCTTTTGCTCGGAAGTTATTGGAGCATAATTACTTTTTTTTAATCTATATAAAATGACAACAAAAGAAAACACAAGTATGCATATATTAATTCAAAGTTATTATCTTGCTGAAATGTCCTAACGTTATCAGTTCGCAATGCTCTTGAGTTTTAGACCAGAAGTCATGGGGTTGATTCCAACGCTCTGATCTCCCATCTCCTCAAGACCGGTATGCTCAAAATCGCATCAAAGCCCATCAACATTATGGACACCTTCTTCGTAAAAAGGCTTGGTAAACAAATGGGGAGAGGGGAGTTTGAAATTGTTAAAGCATAACATTAATATGAATGCATATTGTCAAACCGCTTACTCATGACATCACATCAATCTCACCTATAACCCTCTGTAACTTATCTACCCTGTTTGTTCATTTCTGCTTCACAACACTGCTGGGGTCACAGAGTGGATGGAAGCCGGTTTGTTCTGGTTACGAGCTTGTAACTAATAAAATGCCATGACCTCTCGAACAACACCAGTAACAATATTACCCATATGGCGCTCTAGTTGCATTCTAAAGGAGTAAAAGAACCAAATATCCCTGCCGCCATCGCAAGGACCAAATATTCCTTACTACCATCACAACGCAAGTAATACAAGGATGTTCCAGCTCATCTCACCTCCTTTTAACCAGTCCATCCTCTGAGACAACACCTGTGTGTGTGTGTGTGTATATATAGTATGTGTAACATATAATACAGATTGCTGACAAGAAGGACGTGTGTAGGCGTGTGTAAGATTTTCTTTAAGAATGTCAAGTTTTCAGTGCACGATCCACACAAGTTTTTTTTCCCCCAAAAAAACTTCACAGAGAGCTCAGGTGAAACATCAACGCGGAAATGGAATCAAGCAACAGGCAAACATGCCACCCACCAACAGGCTCTGGAGCAATTGGGGGGGGGTGGGGGAGCAATTGGGGGGGAGGGTGGGGGAGCAATTGGGGGGAGGGTGGGGGGGTGGGGGTGCAATTGGGGGAGGGTGGGGGGGGTGGGGGAGCAATTGGGGGGGTGGGGGAGCAATTGGGGGAGGGTGGGGGTGCAATTGGGGGGAGGGTGGGGGGGTGGGGGAGCAATTGGGGGGTGCGGGAGCAATTGGGGGGGTGGGGGTGCAAGCGCTTTGCTTAAGTAGCTGCAACACTAAAGGATAGTGGCAAATGGGGGGGGGTGGGGGAGAGAGAGGATTAAGACGGGCAACGATCTCGATGTGAAGCGCTCGCGGTGAGAGTGTGTGTGTGTTGGTGGGGGGCAGGTGGGGGAGGAAGGGAGAGATGACACCCCCCACCCCCCCCCAACCCCCTTCGGCACAAGCGATTGCTGCCACTTCGGCACGAACGCCGAGGAGAGAGAGTGAGAGAGAGAGGGTAAGAGCGCGGGCGGACGGTTTGTTTACAGACTCGGTGGGAACCCTTCAACCCGGCGTCAGGCTCCAAAGCTCTGCTTCTCCCCCCCCCCCCACCATCACATTACACTGGACCCGCCGCCACACACACACACACAGACACTCTGTGGATCATAAACTAAACCCCCCCTTTCCCCCCCCCCCCGACCCCCACCCATTCGTTTTCAAAAAAAAACCGTTGACGGGGAACCCGGAGCGCGAGCGGCGACCCCCTCTTTTTTTTTTACCTCCCGTCCGCTGCCGCTGCCGCTTCCACTTCCGCCTGCCCCCACTCCGGCCACCGTCACGTGATCCCCCCCTCCGCCCCGCCCCGCCCGGAAGTACACGGCCATCGGCACGAGCCCCGCCCCCTCCTACCCAACCAGCAGCCAATCGGCGAGCGGCTGTAGCAGAGCCCGACCCCGCCCCCCTTTCCCCCCCTCGCCCCGCCCCCCCACTCCAGGCTCCGCCCACCCAGAGCAGCTGAGCACAAGACAGGTGTGATGCTGCTCAGCTGGTCACCCCCTCCCTCCCCCTCCCTTACCCCCATGTCTGTGGCATTTGTGCAGTTTTTGAGTGGCATTGCACAATAATGATAAATTCCACCCCCAAGACGGCCCGAGGTTCCCCTCCGAAGACTTACGCGGTTTGTCATTGGTTTTGGTTGACTTGCCAAAACCCGACCCCCCCTCCCCTCGCCCCCACGCCCATCACGGCCCAGTTTTTTTTGGGGTTCAATTAATAAAAAAAACAGGTTTCGCAACCAGCCTAATTAGTCGATGTGTTATATTCTCGTTTTTTTTTAATGCAGGTTGGCAGGAAAATGTATCTCAATAGCACCGATCAGCTCCTCCCAATTTTCCGCGAAACGTGTCAAGATTGCCCCGCAATTGGGGGCAAATATCTCTGCACTTTTCTATTGGCCCAGGTCATCGGAAGGCAGAATCTGTCCTCCCATCGTATTGGAAAGACTGCTTGGCGCACAACCATCTGTTTGTTTCTCGCTCAATGCATATTCCAGCTCCATATTGCTGCACTGCAAAAGTCTGTGCGATTCTTATAGGCGTCATTGGCAAGCTACATTTTATAATATGTGCACACAAAGAAAACATTTTTAAATATGCTTTTTTTAAAAACAATTGCCACTACTTTATGTCACTCTGACAGTCATTACCTGTTTGAAAGGAAAGATCAAACAGATGATCTGTCCTCATGGTCCATCAAACACTGATTGCTAAAATAGCAATCTTTTAGTTTAGTCTACGAGCACATGTAAAATCTAATTCTTTTGTATATTTCTATTATTTATGCATCAGTTAATTACAATCGCAATATGGACACAATGCTAAACTTGTCAAATGGTGAGAAACATCCCTTAGCAAACAACAATGTATTCTGTACGTGAATTGACTGAAGCAGAACTAAAAAGGCAAAACTGTCCTCCAAACTGCAGGTAAAGACAAAATTGTGCTGCCACATTAACCTGATTGTGTTTTGAAGGTAGTTTCAGATGAAGTAATTTGATTAAGCGTGGATGTTTCAGGTCTCTACAAAAGAACTCTAAAAAACAGAACTCTACGAAAGAAAACTAAATAAAAAGCCAAACTCTCATTTTTTTTTAATATTGCAATGACCTGAAAACCTTTACATTCTTGGAGTATAACTTCATCTAACATCTAGGTTTTGAAGTTGGAGTGGTATTTTTCACATCAAACAGGCGCTTCACAAAATAAACTTGTAGAACACCAGATAAAACAATGACTGCACTCTGAGCTAATGACCACCAGGTCACATAATTATTGTTTGCTAAACCAAGAAAGTAATCGGCTCCTTTACGCATTCTGGCAAAGTTATAGTATCTCCACATGTGGAAGACATAGTTCTCCACTTTCATAGCCGTTTCCTGTCAAGGGGGAAAGCAAAAGAATATTAAATGGGTAAACAAAAATGACATTTGTGCAATAGATAGGAAAACTAAATGAAAATCAGTATGATGAAAAAGCAGGATATTTTGATAGCACAGCACTTAAGAGTATTTCATTCTTGGGCTGTGGAATTAAAAGCTATTAGAAACTAACAGTTCTGGAATTTTAGTTACACACAAATAAGACGTCTGTTATTTGATTAAACAAAAAGAATTTTCCAGCTCCAAGAAATTATCTAGAGAAAATTGATCCTGCAAAGTAATAAAAGGCACTTTTTTTTTAAGTATCAACAAGAAGTTATAAATAGAGGGAAATTGTAATGAATCACAAAGGGATTGTAAAAAGTTAGATGTGAGAAAGGATGAGGGAAGAAATGAGAAACATTATTTTTCTATTAAATTTGATGTAAAGTGCCCCTGAGAATTTTCTAGCATTAATGACATTGTAGGTTTCATGAGTTCAGCCCTCATGTGAGTTACTCAATTACCACCCGACCTCAGCAAAGGTGTTCCAAAAAAGACATATTAAAAGTCAGCAGTCTGTAATACAAAATCCAGGTTGGCATGAAGTTCTATGAACCTACCCGAATTGCAGAAACTGTGTCATTCAATCCAATTCTTTCTAGATTTTCTCTTTTTTTGTCATCAAATCTGTCATAGTAAACACCGAAGTTGAGAAAGATCTGCTTCGATCCAAAGCTGGTCAAAAAGTTATTCAAACAGAACTGGTAAAACCCTGACAAATGCAAAAGATTAAAATGAATGAATTATTGATATATTGGTCTAATTCTGCATTATTGTTCATCATGCTTATTATGCTCTTGTTATATGGTCTAATTCTATTTATTATGTTTTTCTGTATTATGGGTAGAATTCACTAAACTATAAAAAAATTAGGAAAATGCCATACAAAGAACACAAATTATTTTCTCGCCATAAAGATTAAATTACAGCAAGTTGTATTTATATAGTGCCCGCCTGCAGGGTAGCATTCCAGAGCGCTTGATTATTGGGCAAGTAGTCAGTCACAAAACCTAAAGCATGCTTCAAGAACTCTGCTTCATCTTCTGCTTACTCCGGCAAAACTCCAGAAAATAACTGTATGAACAGAGTTCCCCAGGTAGAGGAGTATGAGGTTTCACAGCTGCAGACTTTAACTTATACATTATGTTGAAGTACAGCTGCAACATCCATTCTGTTTTCATGAGACATATGAAGTGCCGGATCAAATCTCAGTCACTCTTTTTGTGCTGATCTGTTCATAATCTTTTATGCCCAATTTATTAATGCTGTAAACTACATTACTTCCATCTGTAAAGCAATTTAGAAGCAGAAAAGCCTATTCATACTGCCACCTGCCGATGCTTGCAGAAAGGGGAAAAACATACAAACGCGATGAGACATACCTGACTCATTGGTTTTAAAGTTGATTTGCCCACTTGCCTCAGCAGATGTATCTATCAAGCTTCCACTCGGGGCATTAATTGAGACGGTGATGGCTCTACTATTCTGTATTCCCATCACCCACTGAACCTAGGAATTGAAAGACATTTCCGAAAAGAAAATAAACATTTCAAAATAATCAATGCCATCCACAAACTCCGGATTAATTTTAACTTGCTCTTTGAAATAAATTATATTTTCCTTCTGTTAAAAAAAATGGAACAGTTCTTAGAATTTTTGTTAAAAACTATTTATGACACTATTAATAGTCATTCAGGCCAGCATATCTCACTTATTAGTGGGGAAGAGGGAAACCAGGATTTCTTCATAATATAAAATAAAAATGGCAGTAAGGAATCTAATTGTCATCACGGTATTAATAAATCATAAGGCGATAGCAGTTTAAACATTTCCTGAGTACCTCAAATTTTCTACATTTTATGTCTCACTTATACACTGATGTGACCCCAAACCAAACTAAAACACAAGATCCTACTTCATAGCTGAAGTAAAAATATCCCATCTGCTCCGCGTACTGCCAGAAACATTCCTGTCCACCTCCTTGAACAATGATAGAGAAGTCGTATTGATCTGCGCCACCGAATACATCTGGGTCACTGGAATCACTCATCGCCTCAATCCTTTGACATTTTGTATTTGTAAGCAGGATAAAACACAAATACCCAAACACAATAACCGCTGTAGACATTTTTACTGCCAGAGAAATGGTTTGCAATACATCTAGAAAAATGTGACTGAAACCTTAATAAAATGGCACAGCCCATTGGAAATAATTAACTTTTTTATCTAATCTACAATGCCCATTAATCCTGTCCAATGTCTTTTACACCTGTAAAAAAGAATTATAAGTCTTCCGGAAAAAAAAGCTAAACTATTACACAATCTATATAGAACATGAAAAAGTCCATTCCGCTTGCTATTTCCAATTATATTCCATTGTAATCAAAATCAAGCAGCTTGTTTGCTGATGACTGGGTGTAAAACACTCCTATTGCAAAACCTCTCTTTAAGCGCTTCATCCCATCCACCAATGTCATGAGAGAAAACAAAATATTACACTGATGTTCTCTGATCCCCAAAGGATCATCAAGTAGAACTCCTAAATGTTCATCTATCCCCTCATAAACTTTACAGATCTAATTACAACAGGTCATTCTCTGAAACCTCTCTAGCATAAAGACAGGGTGCCCAAAATCATACAGCATTCCACCAGCAATCTACACTTCTGACTGGAGATAAGATGAATTTTAGTACTTGGTAAATTAGTGGCTGTACTAAAAATGAAAGATCTTGGATTCCTACAGAAACAAATGTGACCTTTACTGTGATCCCTGGGACGCCAAGTCACCCGCCGGTCAAAACATTCTGCAGGTACTTAAAAGGGAGCCTGATTTTTTTTAAAAAAGTACTATCAATACAAGTTTACTGTCGGACACTTTTTTTAAAAAAAGCGGATTTAAGAACTACTTGGATTTATGAACCACCACAATGTTTTCACTTTTTTATATATATATATATACAGAAAGCATAAAGGCTGTGTTTAGGATTTTCTGGCTTGCTGACCCATTTTTACAATGTTTGCTCTGCCCCCAACAATCGTGCAATTCTCAAATTCAAAGGTGAGAATGGACAAACTGGTAAAGGAAGCCACAAATTACCAAAGTTTAAAAAATACAATTTATTTGCAAAATGTTTTAGTCACAACCTATGTTTAAAGCAGAAAACACAAAATGTAACTAACATAAGACATTTAGACATATAAAAAAATACAGGAGACAAATTTATTAAACATTTGAGCATAACATGCTTAAACTTTTCAAATTGTAACAAGTGGATTAAAGGGGACATGAAATATTTTTACAAGTTAGAAGATTTTACATAAATATTCACTTCATTGGCAAACAAGGAATACTTTTTTTTACAAAAACAAAATCCAAATTTTGATAATTCTACATAACTAAGTCAGATCAGATGCATTTTCAAGATAAAGGTAATTTTTTTCATAATACAAAAAAGTATGTAGGACGGTATCGTATAAATATCTTGGCAAGACATTACTGCATGAACTCACAGGAATTCAGTATTTTTTCTTTCACTTCAAACTTGAACCAGCTTTGGTAAAAAACATAAGACCTTCATTTAAAAATTGGAGTTAAGGCTAGAGAAAAGTCAGTCTTTTGTTTTCATACATTTTGTACAATAACATACTGCACAGCATAACTAAGAAAGGTAAAATGTACATGAAAACTTGTTAGCATCTGATTTTATAGGCAGTCAAATGATGTTAGCATAATAAGAGTTTATAGATTTAAGTTTTTTCTGACCATCTATTTGCTTCTATTTTGGAGGATTGAAGTATTTTTTCTTAAACATTTTTGATGTTTAGACTTTCGATTTCAAGAAATTGGGTCATGATAGCAAGCTAGTGTGAGATAAGCAATCCGGTTTCAATGGTATTCAATAGCACCTCAACATCTTCCTTAAGGTCTTGTGGGGAAAAATACCACTAAGTCTAGCCAAAAATTGGCAGATTTGATTCCCCACCTCAACCAAAGTGCAACAACACCTCCCCTTGAGTTAAAGAAGAGAAAGCCAAGCAGGACTCCCACTCTAGATACACATCTAAGGTCAGCTGGAAAATACGCATCTGTAGACCTGCAGCAACAGAACATAAGGCTCCAAATGACTCACCGTCTAGGAATCACACAAAGAATAAGAATTTGGTCAAGACCAGATAGAGTTCGTGTTCAAGACAAATTGGCAAAAAAAATGCACATAGTGAGCATTTTGAGTGGTGAATTTGATGAGAGAATTAATTATTCAGTAGAGTGACTACTCAGGAGACAAATGAATATGACAACAATTAAAGAAAAATTAAGGCCTGACAAAGGAGCCTATCATTTAAGAGTGCAAAATTCTTTATTCTCTGTGTGGATACGTTTAAGCAATTTGTATATAGTGATGTTCTTTACAGTAAATAAGTACACTGAAGAGCGTAAAAGATTGGAAAGACTGCATAATTCAGTATACATAAGTAATAAAGACTATGTACAGTAGTGAATTGGAGCACTTTCTAATGAGCTTCATTGCCAGTGGTGCCGCATTGTAATTGATTTACTGGATGGGAATTCAGAATTAAGCGGTGAAGGATGAAGAGGTTATAAGAGTAAAATGTCCAAGGTTACATAAACGCAGAAGCATAAGTCGAAAGTTCCTTTCTCCTATTGGCTGCTACCAGTTCTCAGAATATTACTTGAGCACAGACAAACTAATCTCATGTGTTCAAAATAAAATATGTAAAGGTATTGATTTCCACAGAATTGGAAAAAAATTTAACAAAATGAATGCATTTAAATTTTAATTCATGTTATAGCTGATTTCCAACAAGTGCCTAGCACTGCCTGCCACTATGATATACACGTCCAACCTCTGTAAAGAAAAGTGGAAATTTTCATTTAGGGAAAGATTCCAACGTACCTTTTGTAACATCAAAAACTTTTTAAAAAAAGTCAGGGCTCTTCAACAAGGTGGGACTGAATCACTTTATAGTATAAAGTAATTACCAAAATCAGTAGATACAGTTAAGTTTAAAAGCCTTACTAACTATATCAAACCAAGCTTATGCATTGTCCTCCATCGATCTTTAATCATGACGTTAGTTCGGTCACAAAACGGATAACTTTTCAGGATCTTCCCCCAATTCCCTACTCCAAACTTTCGCACACCTCGTTTAATCCATTCGCTTTCTTCCACTGTCCACCTCTAGAAGATTAACAAAGAGTATTATTGTGGTGCCAGACCAACCAACACAAGTCACAAAAGAAACAATGCTCTCTCATTAATCTGCTGTATGATATTCTTAAACATATGTGTTAGAATTATTTACCAGTAGAGCAAATGCACCTGATCACTTCAGACTACCCAAAAATTGACAGCAAGGAAAATCTTAAATTTAAAACTATATATTTAATATCTGTTGAAGATTGACGCTTACTGTGTTGCTCGACATTTAGTAAGATACAGTACAACTTTGTAGATAACCAGAATCACATTGCGATCAATAAATCAGCATGGGGGAGAGCAAGCTAAACACTGGCCGACTCCATTATGTGGGATATTAGAACATTACATAAAAAATGCACGAATGTATAAAAATAGGTAATTTACCTGACGTCTGGATGAAATTGAAAAAGTACTCTCCGTTGGCGAGGTCCTTCCATGGCCTATTAAGCAATTAAGAGTAATTAACTCTTGCTCTAATAAATAATGCACATCAATTTACAAAAATTGTATCACCACATTTTAATAATTTCCCCAAAATTATATTTAATAGCCCCTTAGAAAACAGTTTGTTTATTTGTTGAGAATTCCTACAGTCAAATATGAAAATTGTATGTGTCGTTTTAAGACAAGCCCAGGCGCAAGATACTTAAAATCTAAATACAAAATACATTTTGTTGTTCCACCTACAGAGCACAATGGTCCAGAGTTAGCAGTTCCTACAGATCCATAGCCTGGATTAAAATCGTGATATTTTGAATCCATAGAAATTTAGACCAATTAGAAATATCCACAAAATAAAAATGCCATACAAACATCCAAATTCATTGCTAAATTATTCTAAAAACTGAGATAAGAACTAGGGTAATAAAAGGCAAGGGATTATCTCTGCATCAACACATTTTAAAAAAATATGATCAACTCCACATTGAAGATTAGTGTTAATATTCTATATATTAGCAAAAAAGCAACAAATATGTAATTAACTTTATTATAGCAACTTAGAATTTAATAGAAATCGAGATCAATAAATTTGGTAGATAAAAATCTTTATTGAAGTGTTACTTGTGCTAATCTCAATTTAAAAGTGCTTCTATGCCAGTCAATACTCTTGAAAGCCTGGTGTTTACTCACTGGTGGCTTGAGGTATAGCAAACAGAAATTCCTCATCACTCCATTCCTCCTTGTTTTCAACCATTTGAAGCTCACGTAAATTAGATCTAAGGGTAGAATTAAAGATTATATAGCAATCATCACATCCAACATAGACAATGCATAGACAAATTAGTAAGCAGACAAATCAATAAGCTAATGAGGAGAAATTTCACCTGGGACTAAATTACTATTTATATAGCATTTTAGAGCATCCAGAATTTGGCAAATTAAATTAAATTCAGTCTTAATTTTGAAGGCACGTGACTGTAAAATTCTTTTTAATAATGAGAGAAAACTGAATTCAATGTTAAGACTGAATTCAAATTTGCCAAATTCAGGATGCTCTTAGATGCTAATAGAACAAAGCTAGACCCAAGTGGAATTGCAAAATCATTTGGTTAGAATTAACTTCAGATGATGTCATAAGGCGCTATACCAAATGCAAGGGCAATATTATTATTGTATTCATCAACAATTCAGTGTATTTCAATTGCTATGTAAATTATTGCATTTGTAAATGATCCAGTGATTTCTCCTAATTATAATGCAACATATGGTTCAATTTGCATTACAGTAGAACTTCAGTCAGAACATTATAATTATTTTCTCTCTGTCTGAAATACTTGCTTTTCAAAGGATTCCACTTGAATTTACTGAAACCTCACCTCTTGCCTTGAAGTGTTCCAGTTTCTTTGCTTAGCCTTTCAACAGGAGAGCTTGAATCATTTGATGACCCTGGGGAATAGACCTGGCAATGCTGGAAATGCCTCCTCCCACTCTGGACTGGGATTTCGGGTGTTTTCAGTCCACTCCCACTCTGGACTGAGATTTCGGGTGTTTTCGGTCCACTCCCACTCTGGACTGAGATTTCGGAAGTCTCCACCTCACTGTCGGGCTCTATAACAAACCGAGACACCCGTGTGCCATCTGTTTCTATCCTCTGCCTCTTTCGTCTTGGCACTTCTTTGTTTCCTTCAGGTATTTTAAAATCAAGTTTATCTAGCTTTTCAAAGACTGTTGGTGTGCCCATTGATGAATTAAAAAGGATGTTGAATGCAGTGTGAAGAGCTGTACGACTGCAAATCAGGCTTGGTTCAGCTTTCACCCTAAAAGATGGCACAAATTGTAACACAAATTACTTCAAAAATTACTACTTCATGATTTTTTTTTACTTCTGCAGAATCAATAGGTACCATGCAAGAATAATAGCAATGCTGCTCAACAGTTAAGTCTCCATGTAATTAATGAAAAGCTAGACTTTAATATGAAATTAATGCTGCCATTCATTTGTAACCAAAGCGGAACCAGGCTTAAAATATTTAGCATATTAGTTTCTGTAATCTATCAAACAAAATTAGATTTTTTCAACTGCTCAGTAGCAACTTATGCTTTATTGTATTTAACAAATAAATTGTTTCCCTCATGCACTATTTGGGGAAATAACTACCTTAAAAGCTAAATTGTAACTATTTTGGAACCAATTGATCTGTCAGTGACCAGCTTAATTTACATTTTTAATTTTTTTTAATAACATTTAGAATTAAATGCATATTTCTTCTTACTGACCCATTGTTCTTTGGGTAAAATGATAAACCAGTATCCTGGTATCAATCAATCTTTTTCAAATTTGGAAAAAAATACATTCAGTCTTAATAGTGTTTTTAGACTTTGCTTGAGCAGAACAACAACTTGCACCTATATAGCATCCTCCACACAGGGTAGCGTCTCAAGAGTGTTTAAACAGCATAAGTAGTTGCCTACATAAGTCGCTACTTTTCAAAGTGGCTTGTTACTTTTGAGACACTGAAACATGCTACTATTTTCGTTTATTTTTTCTTTATATCAACAATTTTGAAACACTGCTTAAGTTGACATAACAAAAAAACCTCCAGTAACCTCTTAGAACAGATGCGACATTTATCCTCTGGATTCGATGAGCACTGATTTGATTTCTCTTCTTGCATCTTAGTCACTTCCAATGCAGAGTTTGAAATGGATTTTTTTGCAGTCTGAAGGCAAACACAGTGTACATGAATGTTTTAGCTCTCATTAAGGTAAGAGATGGCAGGATAAATTCCCTACACTGCACTCAATGCTGACTTGCATCACAGATTGCATGAATTTTACACTATGAAGTTTTAAAAGAAAAAATCAAAATACAATTAAGTCAGCAATAGCATAAATGCAGTTAACATTTGGCAACTTCTCACAAAAATCATGCAATTCTAAGATGCAGCTATAAATAGCAACCAATTTTCCCCTTTGACTTCTTTCCTCAGAGGCAGCCACATTACCACAGAAAAGTTAAAATAAAAATGGTAAAATGCATGTCACAGGAAAGAGGGAACTTAAATCTATGAATGTGCACATTTAAAACAAGTTACACTACTTTAGATGCTGAAATACATTATACCAGACCATCCAAACTGAATTTAAATACATACAAGAAGCAGAAAAGGTTCACGGTTGTCAATCAAACGGTCCACAAAAGCCATCATTTTAATTTTGAATTCACTGTACATATAGAAACGAAGATCAGGATGGGAGCAATTCCTCTCTCTAATAACAGCTGAAAGCAATTTCTAAGAAAACAAGAAAGGACAAAACATTTTAAGACTGCAGCATAATAACAAAAGTATAATTCAACTAATTATAACTGCACACTAACAGGAAAAATACATTGTATACAATACAGCGGAATCTCGGTGATCCACCATAATAAACAGACCTGGAAATTCACGTATGTTGACATTACACTGTACGTGCTGTGCTCCCATCCCTGGCTGACTCAATTCCCATATCCCTCATTCCCACATTCAAAACTTTCTAATCTGCAAAAACAGATATCTGGCCCAATTGAACACTAACACACCTGGTCATCAGCCTTTGTGATATGTGTTCGTAGGATCTTGGAAGCTTCTTCAAAGCAGCTCTTCTTAATATAACGAACCACAGCCTTCAGAAAGAGAATATGAAAATGTTACTCAAAAGCTTGCTTTATTTGGGAACATTGAACAAGCAACCTGGATGACAATCCATCTGTTTAAAAGAATTCAGGGATTGCCAAAGAATGGTCACTCAGATTTCTATTTGTGTGCAATGCAAGATAAAAAAATACGTATTGCTTTTCACAGATGGTTACTGAGGACAAACTACTGCTTACTCATTACGACAGTAGTTTGCATTAGCTTTACACCCAACTTCCGGTGTCAAAACCAATGACTAAACAAATTAAAAATGATTTAAAATCATTGAATTAACCTGTATTTGTATAGCTTCTCCGATCTTTTGGATCATTCCTTCATCCAATGAGAACTCATTCTTTATCCGGTCAAGAATTGTTAAAACAGATTCCAGTGATATGGTGTTTCTTTCTGTATAAAAGTAATGAAAGGTAGATTTGTAAATACACACTTACCACATAAAGGTATGTGCAAAAAGTCAATTATATGCTTATTTTGCTTACCAAATTTGGCTAGAAACCATATTATAAGAAGCTTTTTTGCAATCTCCTCTGTGTCATTGTATGGCCCTTTCAAAACAGCTGTAAATAAAAATAGAATACGAATATAAAATAAAAATATCAGTAGGTCTGAATAAAAGCCTGGTCCACGATCAACTTTTTAAACAACTGTTGCCATTTACACTGAAAACTATAATAGTAATGTTACCCGTTTTATTTACTAAACTTTTTCCCCATTTCAAGCATTCAGTATCTGCATCCAGGTCAGATACCCCAAACTATCAGTAAAGCTCCTTGTACAGTATTTGCCAACTGAACCACCATGAGACTTATTTTACCAGACTACTACCTTCCATGTTATAATGTTAAAACAGTCCAGCTCTATTTCGCTGTGCGAGGAGTTCCTTCCACAAGTCCCGTGCACTCCGATGCCCACTGACAAAACCAATCCCAACGAGCTTCTATTTAAAATATTTGTAGGTAAAATGATATAAGGTTCTGTACTCAAAAGCGTGCGGGGGTGGGGTTAAGACCGCACCAGAGGAAGAAAATTTCGTGTGTAAACACTACCGACATTGACTCAAGATAATAATAATAATAATAATCCTTGCATTTCATATAGCACCTCCTCGCGGTCTTCAAGGTGCCTCAAAGCGCTTCACAGAATATACTGTAAAGTGCATAAGACATCCAGTAACGTCGTGCGAGCGTCGAGGCCAACTTCACTTCGAGTTTGAGCGCCTAAACTCCGGACTCGCCTGTTATAACGTCCAGGATGGCGCAGAACTGCTCGTCTTGGCCGCTCCTGAACGCTTCGAGGGCGCAGTGCAAGTTATACTCCAGGATCCAATGGTTCACGGTTTGCTGGGGACCCGGCGCGTCTGCTCCGTCCCCGGCTTTCCTCTTCCTCGGATTCCGCCCCGGTGGCGATGCGGGTGGCGCCAAAGACCCGTTCAGGTCCCGCCGCTCGGCGTCCGTGTCGCTATCGGAGCTGTAGGCCCCGTCCCGCGATGCTGCCATTTCTGGCGCGCAAAAGGGGGGGCAGCCGGACGTACCCGGAGGTTTCCGGCCTCCCGGAAATAACGTCACGCGCCCATCACGCGTTGAGGATAAAAGTGGAACTTTTGCGCCGCCATGTTGGTGAGGTCAAATACCAATCGCAATCCCTGCACTTAATACAGCGCTTTGTCACATCTTCAAGGCGTCTCAAAGCGCTTCACAGAACATACTGTGAAGTGGATTGACTATGGGGAAAACAGGGCAGCCAATTGCGCACAGCAGCGTCCAACAAAGGGTTGTGGATTGAAGCAACCAATTTATTATTTTTGTAACGGATTATTACTCCCCCACCGGCAAGCAATTTGCCTATCGACTAGCAACCGGGTTCCTACTTACTACTACGTAAACAGAGGAAAAATATTGCAACCGAAGGGAAAAAAGTCATGATTTTGCAGCTATAATTCTGTAATATTACAAGAGCAACAGATGTTAGCCATTCAGCCCCATACACCGAGCCTGTTTACACCCGTTTGTTAGATCTTATTTTTTGAAGCGCTTTGAGATGCCTCAACTACATGAAGAGGCGCTACATTAAATGCAAGGATTATTATCACTGTAGAATGCATACCTGCCAATCTTGCTAAAGAAACAAAAGCAGTAGAAGTTCAGCAAACAAGAGAATTCGGCACATTCATTTTAACTTTCATTTGCATCATGTTCAGCATTTATTCAGCAAAAATCAAGAATATTTATTTTGTTGGCCAATACTGCTCCAGAGGAAGTTCAAATTGGCCAAAGTGCCTCCTTTTGTACAATCTTGTGTTTACATAATAATACATTAGAATATACAGCACAGAAACAGGCCATTTGGCCCAACTTGTCTATGCCAGTGTTTATGATCCAAATGACCTCCTTCTGCCCTTCCCCAACTAAGCCTTCAAGCATAACCTTCTATTCCTTTCTCCTTCATGTACCTATCTAGCTTTCCCTTACATACATATATGCTATCTGCCTCAACAACTCCTTGTGGTAGAATGTTCCACATTCCAACTAGTCCCTGTGGGAAGAAATTTCTTCTAAACTTCCCTATTTGATCTATTTGTGACTATTTTACATTAAGGGCCCCTGGTTTTGGTCTTCCACACCACAACAACAACAACAAGATTCCATTTATAAAGCGCCTTTCACGTCAGGAGGACGTCGCAAGGCGCTGCACAGTTGGGTCATGACCCGAGCAGGGGGGAAATGGTCAGGGTGAGGGGAGGGGAGGGAGCGAGGAGGGGGGAAATGGTCAGGGTGAGGGGAGGGATGGGAGGGAGCGAGAAGGGGGAAGAGAGTCGAGAGGGGAGCTGAAGGCTCGGTCAAAGAGAAAGGTTTTGAGACCGGCCTTGAAGGAGGAGAGGGAGGAAGCAAGGCGAAGGCACTGGGGGATAGAGTTCCAGAGCCTCGGGGCTGAAGGCCCGACCACCAATGGTAGGGCGATTGGGGCGGGGGACGTGGAGCAGACCGGAGCCGGAGGAACGGAGGGTACGGGCAGGTAGGTAGGGGGATAGTAGGTTGGAGAGGTAGGAGGGAGCAAGGCCGTGAATGGCCTTGTAGGTGAGGATGAGGATCTTGAAATCAATCCTCTGGGGGATGGGGAGCCAGTGGAGGCGAGCGAGGGTGGGAGTGATGTGGTCGCGGTGTCTGGTGCGGGACAGTACACGAGCTGCAGAGTTCTGAATGACCTGCAGCTTGTGGAGGGAGGTGGCGGGAAGGCCGCGAGGAGAGAGTTCCCATAGTCCAGCCTTGAGGTGACAAAGGCGTGAACCAGGGTTTCAGCCGCGTGAGGGGTGAGGTAATGGCGTAGTCTGGCGATGTTCCGGAGGTGATGGAAGGCAGTGCCAGTTGTGGTGCGGATGTGAGGGAGAAAGGACAGCTCAGGGTCGAACAAAACGCCGAGGTTCCTGACTGGCTTTGAGAGGTGGAGAGTGCAGCCTTGGATGCTGATGGTGTCGGCGCCTGAGGTGCGGAGGCGCTGACGCGAACCAATCAGGAGGGCCTCGGTTTTTCGCACGTTGAGCTGAAGAAAGTTGTCTCTCGTCCAGGACTCGATGTCGGACAGGCAGCTGTCAGGACATCGGTGGTCGTGGAGTTGAGAGTAGAGGAGGAAAGGTAGAGTTGGGTGTCATCCGCATACATGTGGAAGTTAACTCCATGTCTGCGGATGAAGTCACCAAGGGGGAGCATATAGAGGGTGAAGAGGAGGGGACCGAGGACAGAGCCCTGAGGGACTCCACATGAGACAGTACGGGGGGTGGAGGAGAAGCTATTTGTCGAGACAAAGTGAAGACGGTGAGAAAGGTACGACCTAAACAACAACAACAACAAGATTCCATTTATAAAGCGCCTTTCACGTCAGGAGGACGTCCCAAGGCGCTGCACAGTTGGGTCATGACCCGAGCAGGGGGGAAATGGTCAGGGTGAGGGGAGGGGAGGGAGCGAGGAGGGGGGAAATGGTCAGGGTGAGGGGAGGGATGGGAGGGAGCGAGAAGGGGGAAGAGAGTCGAGAGGGGAGCTGAAGGCTCGGTCAAAGAGAAAGGTTTTGAGACCGGCCTTGAAGGAGGAAAGGGAGGAAGCAAGGCGAAGGCACTGGGGGATAGAGTTCCAGAGCCAAACCACTCAAGGACAGTGCCTTGAAGGTTGAGGTGGGAGGACAAGCGGTGGAGTAGGATAGCGTGGTCGACCGTATCGAATGCTGCCGATAGGTCGAGGAGGACGAGGAGGCAGAGGGAGCCCTGGTCACAGATGGTCAGGATATCATTGGTGACCTTGACCAGGGCAGTTTCTGTGCTACGGGCAGCACGGAAACCTGACTGAACAGTTGAAACATCTTCCCTATGTCTACCCTATCAAAACCGCACAAAGCAGGGGGGTTTTTCATGCCCAGTACAAGAAAAATACACCGAATTGGGTGTCATCCGACGTGAAAGGCGCGATACAAATGCAATTTGTTTTTGTTGAACCCGTCCAATCTGGTACTAATGGACACAAGCTTTCCCTCACTCGCCCCTTCACCGAAGGGAAAAAAATGTCATGTTTTTGCTGCTGTGATTCTCTAACAATACAAGAGCAACGGGCAACAAGAAGATTACATTTGTATCGCGCCTTTCACGTCGAGAGGATGTCCAAAGGCGCTGGACAGGGCACAGCGTTTCAGACCCGAGCTGGGGTCAGGGGGGGAGGAGGGAGGGGACGGGAAGGTGGGGGGGTGACCGACGGTGGGGGGTGACCGAAGGTGGGGGGTGACGATGGGGGGGGTGACCGACGGTGGGGGGTGACCGACGGTGGGGGGGTGACTGACGGTGGGGGGTGACCGCCCGCATGCTCGAAGAGGAGGGTCTTGAGGCGGGACTTGAAGGAGGCTAAGGAGTGGGGGGGGGGGGGCGAGGGGGCCGAGGCGAGGCGATTGGGGAGAAGGAATTCCAGAGGTCGGGGGCAGAGCGGCTGAAGGCTCTCCCGCCAACGGTGGGGCGGAGGCCATCCGCCCCCCCCCACCCGCCGAGCCTGTTTACGCCCGTCCGTCAGATCCCGGCGGGTCTTCTTACTTGTTCGAGAGCGCTCTGAGACGTCCGAAACGCACGACGGAGGCGCTGCGGCGAAGGCGAACGCGAGGACCGTCGGCGCGTAACGCAAACACCCCGACCCGTCCGTCGTACGATCAGAGCTGCGTCGCATCACGTGACGCTCCGCCCGCCCCGCCCCCCCCCAGCGTGTGACGTATCGGACCTGAGCCGCCTCGGGATCCTATTGGCGGGCGGGGGGGCCGGGCTCCGCGCGCGGTGACCGCAGGAGACGCCGGTGAGTCACGTGAGGCGCGACCGTTACTGGCTACCTGCGCGAGCTGCTTCAATCCCCCCCTCACGCGCACCCACGGCAGACGGTGACCGCCCCCCGCTTCGTTGGCGTCGCTCGCTCGCCCGCCCGCCCGCCGGCACAGCTTCAGCAATGGGCGAAGACGACAAGGTAATCTGCAACGATGACTCGCCGGTCAAATACTTAACGCTGGAAGACGTGAAGTGTCACAATTCCTGCACGTCCACATGGCTCGTGATTCACGACAAAGTCTACGATGTCACCAAATTTCTGGACGAGGTGAGTTGACGTTTATCTCCAACCCCTCCCAACCCCACCCCCCCCACCCACCCCCAGCAACTAGGCCTCGGTCTCGGGTCCCGGTGCGGGTGGCCCTGACGATTGGCACCACCGGGGGAGAAGGAGGGGCCTCGCTCTGGCCGTTTGACTCCCGACCTGCGGTAACCTCACTCAACACGGGACAAAAAAGGGAGGTGTGCGGGTTCACGGGGGTCGGACCCAAATGGACGCGCGCGGAATCGCAACAGAAACAAAAGCCCCCCCCCTCCCCGCCCCCGCCCCGCATCACCCCTTTCGTGTGCGGCACTGCTTCTCTCGTCAGGACCCCCCCCCACCCCACCACCGTGGGAGTCCCGTAGCTCAGTGGTTAGAGCACTCGCTTTGCCAGCGAGAGACCCGAGTTCAATCCCCGGCAGGTCAGGGCCAAACCCTGGGCAAGTTTCCTTACTCCACAACACAGAGCCCCTACTAACAATCCCTCCAAAACCCCCCCGAAAAAACACAATCATAAATCGGTCATTTTCAATCCACGACTGTCTGCGGCGACGCCGCTGTGCGCAATCGGCCGCCGCGTTCGCCCACAAATATACAGTCAATTCACTTTACAGTGTGTGTTCTGTGAAGCGCTTTGGGACGTCCTCCCGCCGTGAAAAAGCGCCATATCAAATGCGAGGATTATTATTATTGTTATTATGTCGCCTTTTGCGACCTGCTCCCCTTTGTAAAGTTGGCGGTTGAAGCACGATGGCACTTGTTTTCCTTGCCTTGTTTTAGCAATGCCCTCATTTTATTCGATCGCCAACGGCAAAATGTTGGTTTGTAATCGATCATATGAGCGAAATGCAAATGTTGTCGTAAGAGGTTAGAACAGCAGCAGCAACAGCTTGCCACTTTTATAGCGCCCGCCACTCAAGAGCGCTTAACAGTTGGCAGAGCGTGACTCGGGGGGGGTGGTCTTTCAGTGGAAGGTTTTCAGGCAGGACTTGAAAAAAATTTGGGCCCCATAGTACGCTGGTATTTTTCCAGGGACTGTTATTTTTCTGTGACTGTTCTCCCACACAAATAGAATTGACATACAATGTCAAGTTTTAAGCAGCTTCTGTGAAGCCAATGATTTCTGAGAATGTTCTATGTGAAGTATTCTGACGTGCCTTTATGATGGGAGGAAATTTAGTCCTAAATTGTTTAGTCCTAATCCTAATCTTTTGTGTGGCGTGGTATGCATTGGCAAATAAAATGAAGTGACCTGATGTAATGTAATAAACCTATATGAAGATATATTTACACACAGTCACTGTCTTTCATGAGAACAGAGAGAAAGACATTAACTACTCACCACCTGGAGCATCCTGGAGGCTTTCACGAGCTCCACCTTAGAAAGATAAGAAAAGCTCTGTTCAACTAAATATTTAAAAATTGTACACTTTTAATTGTCTATTTTTGGTGGTTGATTTGTTAAAATGGAGGGTATGAAATTCTTAGCTTTCACGGTCTTTGAAATCACATATTTCAATTCTCTTTATCAGGAACATCAGATATAGAAAGGACATCTGCTCTCCCGTTTTTGAAAGAAATGAAAAATATGTTTTTTTTGGCCAGAACAAATGTTTTTAAGTATTGAAGTAGGAACCCAGTATAAGTTCTGTCCTTGGCTGGTTGTACATGAAACTGCTTATATCTGTGTTAATGCTGAGTCTAACCTTCAACTAAATTTTCAGTCGAAGGTTACATCATGTCCAAGTACATCAAAAACCATGACATTGAATTGGCAATAATAAGTAAGCAGTTTTATATCATCTTGTGCTTTCATTTATTGTGATCTATCTGAAGTAATGCAATAATAATCCTTGCATTTGATATAGCTCCTTTCATGTTGGGATGACGTCTCAAAGTGTTCCACAGGATTTACAGTAAAGTATAGTTACTGTAGTTGAAAGCAGCAGTCAATTTGTGCACTGCAATGTCCCACAAACAGCTTTGAAAATGAATTTTATCCGGGGGGGTTGTTGGCTAGGAAAGTAGGAGAAAATCCCTTCCCTTTTCAAATAGTGTCATGGTATCTATGAGACCGGCCTTGAAGGAGGCAAGGGAGGAAGCGAGGCAAAGGGACCGTGGGGTGGAGTTCCAGAGTGTGGGGGTAGAGAGGCTGAAAGCCCGGCCACCAATGGTCGGGCGGGAGACATGGAGCAGACTGGAGCCTGCTGAACGGAGGGAGCGGGCAGGTTGGTAGGGAGTCAGCAGGTCAGAGATGGCCTTGAAAGTGAGGACGAGGATCTTGAATTCGATCCTCTGGAGGATGGGGAGCCAGTGGAGTCGGGCGAGGGTGGGGGTGATGGGGTCACGGAGCCTGGTACGTGAGAGTACACGAGCTGCAGAGTTTTGGATGATCTGCACCTTGTGAAGGGAAGAGTTGGGAAGGCCGATGAGGAGGGAGTTCCCGTAGTCGAGCCTTGGTGTGACGAATGCGTGGGTGAGGGTTTCGGCAGCCTGAGGTGTGAGGCAGTGGCAGAGTCTGACAATGTTGCGGAGGTGGTGGTAGGCAGTGCCGGTCATGGCGCGGAGGTGGGAGAGAAAGGACAGTTCAGGGTCGAACAAGATACGCAGGTTCCTGACTGGCTTAGTGAGGTTGAGTTTAACATCTCATCTGAAGGTTGGCAACTCTGACAACTGAGTACTCAACAACCTCCTGACTTGTAGACGAGAGTGAAACTTGAAGAATAAACAGTGAGAATATAAATTAGCAGTATTAGTTTGTAGGACAGGTAACGGAGAGTTGTTTGGGGTTACTTGTGAATAGATTGCTATAACCATCAGCAAGTGTGAAGTGGCAATTAAGTGGAAAATCTTGGGGGTGTATAAGAAGTAATATTGAATTCATAAAAGATACTGGTCTGTTCTTGCACCTGGATTACTACTTTCAATTCTGGTCACTATTACAACTATATTCAAAGCCTTCAGATTGCCAGAAGCAAAAACAGGAGATAATTATTTAGTAAATGACAAAGAATTTAATTTTGAACCAACCAGGTAGATTACAGTTCTGTGTATTCCTCTGTAAATCTTTTGAGTTGTACAATCTTGTCCGATTATTTATTTGGTTCCATTCTGTAAGGTTCTATCATGTAGCATGTGTGCATTGTGTGTTCCACTGCTGTAATAAACAAAAATTCACATTACATACACACTTCAATTTACTTTTTTCCCCTTTTTCATTTTGTAGCATCCGGGTGGCGAAGAAGTACTCTTTGAGCAAGCAGGAGGTGACGCTACTGAAAGTTTTGAGGATGTGGGCCATTCATCTGATGCCAGAGAGATGCTGACACAGTATTGTATAGCAGAACTTGATCCGGTCAGTACAGAGCACGATCCATCTTTGCATTACGGATTTTCTAGCTTTCCTGTTCATGTTTACCAAACCTTTTTGCATAAATAATCACATCATTAATTAGTGTTGACAGAATGACTTCTAGTTAGCGCCATTGAAGACCATGTGCCTTTGATGTCCTTTACTGCGGTTGTAACTGATGAAATGTTAGGACAAAATGCAAGCAAAAGCAACTTCGAAGCCCACCTGAACACCTATCTTTTTGACTGTGCTTTTAGTCATCTTGCATGTTAAAACATTCCATGGCACAATTTTACAAGATAAGGGAGCTTTTTTCCAATGTCCTGGACAACAATATCACAGATAACATTAGTCATTTTACTTCAGGGTCCTGTGCAAATTGCCTGCCGCATTTGCCTACAAATAAGCGGGGTGGGGAGCGTACAGAGGAGTCCTTGATTCTACCATCTGTGCTGCGCTTTGCCAGCCAGCAAACACCCAGTACTTTCAGAGTACACTGACAAAGTGGAGCATGTAAAAGAAAGTGTCAGAGATCAGAAAAAAAAATTAGCTGAGACATGGTTGTAAGTTATATTACAACATGGGGATCAAAAGGAGTATTTTTTTAAAAAGTCTTTCTCCAGTAAAATACTGTAACTACAATTTACAATGGGCAGAATGCCCTTCTTCTGTGCCGTGAACATCTATGGTTCTGTACTAAAGTGCTGAAAGAATCTATCGTGCTTTGTGCATTTGGCTTGATTATTTAAGGTCTTTATGCCTTTTTTTTTCTTTAACAGGCTGATCGAAAAAAAGAAAATTCCAAGGTAAGGTAATAAATGGCAAGCGAGAACATCTAGTGAGAATCATGTGCTTATCAGCTCTTTAATAATAATAATAATCCTTGGATTTGATATAGCACTTTTCACGTCTTCTCGACGTCTCAAAGCGCTTCACAGAATAGAATGTAAAGTGAATCGAGCGTATATTTGTGGGCGAAACGCGGCAGCCAATTGCGCACAGCAGTGTCCCACAAACAGTCGTGGATTGAAGTGACCAATTTATTATTTTTTGTTTTGGAGGGATTATTATTAGGCGTGTGGAGTCAATTTAAAAGTAAACTTGCCCAAAGTTTTGCCCTGCCTGGAATTGAACCCAGGTGTCTCGCTTGCAAGGCAAGTGCTCTAACCACTGAGCTACAGGACTCCATGATCAAACAAAATCCAGATCAAACAAAATTACAACAACCACAACAATTTTTTTATGCATTCATGCCAGTGGCAATGCAGTGAAAACACTTTTTATTGATGTTTCTAATTTGGCAGAAAACAACCAATAACAGTTTTTTTGTCTCAGATCCCACTGGAAAATAAAAAAGATTCAACATTCATTCGCTTATTGCAAATAATTTAGATTGTCAATTTAAAAGAAGCATTCTATTTGAAAGTTATATAGTTCTGTCAATCTGAGACTGAGGCAGTCCCTTTGTGTACATATTCTGGCCTCAGCAATCTAGATCTGGAAGAAATTTATCTGACAAAGAACATAATTTTAGCGAGGAGAGATAACACACAAGTCCCTACACGACTCTCCCTCTCCATAAAGGCTGATTGCAACAACTACCCCAGCTAAATGAGCATAGATGTTTATGCAAATATGCTGTCTTTTGGCAACCTTTATTGTTCAGTGTGCCTCCTGCATTCTTGTACAAGTTGTTAATTTATGCACTATAAGATATAAAATGTGGTCATTAAGTTTTAATTTAATCTTGGTTTTCTCGTGTATGCTTGAATGTCTCTATCTGGATTTATGATAGTGTTAGAACCGTTCCACTGAATGCTGTTAGTTTGACATGTTCTTGGTTCTCAATCAGTTGCGTGAAGCATTTTGAGATGTCCTCCCAAAATAAAATACATTCTTATAAAAAGGCAAGAATAAGAACAGCAATTTATATTTATAAGTTACAAGACCCAAGTATTAATATGTTTTTTGTTTCTTGTTCTCCTACAGGATGTTTTAATCACCACATCATCAAGCCATTCCAGGTATAGTACATTTCAAACTTTATCTGTAGACTTGCATGAGTTTAAGGCGTATGACAAGTCCTGTGGAGTCCTGTAGCTTACTGGTTAGAGCACTCGCTTTGCAAGCGAGAGACCTGAGTTCAATTCCAGGCAGAGGGCGAAACCTTGGGCAAGTTTTCTTACTCCACACACAGCCTAATAATAATCCTTCCAAAAACAATAATAAATTGGTCATTTTCAATCTACGACTGTTTGTGGGACATTGCTGTGCACAATTGGCTGCTGTGTTTGCCCACAAATATACAGTCAATTCACTTTACAGTGTGTTCTGTAAAGCGCTTTGGGACGTCCTCCCGATGTGAAAAGCGCTATATCAAATGCAAGGATTATTATTATTATTAAAGGTCAATAACATACCAGAACATTTGTTTTATTTTCCAGTTGGTGGACAAATTGGCTGATCCCTGCCTTAGCAGCTGCTGTTGTTGGCCTCATGTATCGCTTCTACTTAGTGGAGACCAAAACCTCATCCTGAAGCATTTAGTTTGGGGGGAGGGTCTTGATGGGGTGTGCCTACTCGTTCATATTTCGTTGTTCCTCTTTGTCTTCAAATAATGTTTATATCAAATATTGGAAGCGCAATACTATACAATTATGTGCTTAAATTTGACTGAACACCTGCTGGGACTTCATTGTGATCATTGTTTTCTATTCCTTACACAAAATAGTATAGTAATTTGTCAGTTTTACAGTATAAATCTTCAGCAATGAGAAGTATATAATGTTTAGTGCTTTTATTTGGAACAGATTCCCCCCCCTCCCCATTTCTGACTTCCAACAAAAAGAGAAACACATCAAAGTTCACCTTTGAATAAACAGCTATTTTACAATACAGTATCAACAAACTGTTTGTAACACTGGTGCTGCATGTTTTCTGTTTTGAATCTCTGGCAAACACTTGGTTCTTGGCTACAATACAATTTTGTGTGTGTGTGTGTATATATATATATATATTGTCCTATTTGAAGTTCAATCCCAAACTTCTCTCTTACCTTTCACCCTCCTCCCCCACCCCCCCCCCGCTACCCCCCACCCCCAAACAAATAAAGTAACTGACGACACTGGCAGAGATTTACTTTAAAGAAATCATAGATCTTGATGAACATGTAGTTTATGATGTTGATCTGTAGTTTGTTGAACAACTAAGACTTAACTGAATGTTAAATTTAAGCGTCACTCTTATGCATGTTCCCAAATAGAATAGTTTTCAGAAATGATCCCAGGCTAGTGGTGAGTAGAGTAGCAATAGGCCTTCAGAATTCTACCCAACCAGAGTGCTTTCTTTAAAGATTTCTTTAAAAAGTTCTGTAAATTAACCTACATTTGGAAATAAAAGGTTAAACATTTTTAAAATCACATTGGTGATGCACAAGGTGATGGTGATCTCGTGGAATTTACAGAAAACAAGAATAATTATTAATTGACAAAACAATTTCCATCATGAATATGTAGTTGATGGTAATTTCAAAACAGAATCCCTTTGATTTTGCCAGTTTTTTTTCCTGCTATTCCTGAAGGTAAATTTGACTTTACATTTGACTGGCGATAATCCAGTTACAGACAAATATTAATGTGAATTGAAAGCGCTTGGCTAATTTGGGCAATGAAGTACTTGATTGTCTGAAGTTGAGAGGTGTGTGTACGTTTAAGACCCATTGACTAAATTGAGTTGGTTTACCAGTTTTTTGATATGCTGTAGTATGGAGGTGGTTCGGTAGGAGACGAAAGGATAAATAATTCAACTTGTCCTGCTTTAAAATCACCTCCTAGTAATTGATTGCAGGTCGTGATCACTGAGTATCTATCTGATAGTCTAATCTGTTCCACTTTTTTTACTAAAAGAATCTAAAAGTTCTAGGAGATAGCAAATATAATAAAATTACTTTATTATAGTCATTGATGATTAATGTGGAACTTTCAATCCAACTGTAACGGTTATCTTGATGGTATGTTACCTCACAAAAAAGTACAGAAAGAAAGATTTATTTAGAGGGTGCTATAGGGATTAAAGGATGAAAGTGACGTGTCTGTAAGCAATAGAGAAAAAAAAATCCTAAATTTAAAAATAAACTTGGATTCGTTGCTTGCAGTAGTGTATAATTTTCCAATGTGTGTTCCTACCATTAGTGTTTCTGTATTAGTCCGGCACGGTTCAGTGAGACACGTTTAAAAATATGCATGTGTGCATGCACATATAAGTGTGACTAATTGTAGTATTCTTTTCAGCATTTTGGGTCAATTGTCAATCTTAAGACTTGTTGAGGTTTTAACTGAATATTTAAATAGATTTTTTTGATCCAACCTATGTAAGCTAAAAGAGGTGTAATTGGTCTTTTTAAAAAAAAAACAAGCTCTTTGTATTGCTTATCCATCTAGGTAAGATTAATATTTTAAATGTGCTTGCTCAAGTTAAAAATACTGAGATGTTAAAGATGAAAAATGTGAACTAATGTCTAATGTGCTGTATCAAAAATTTAAATGAGGGCAAATTCAAATGAGTTCCAGTAATAATAATATCAATGATTTGTACTGTTTGAATTGACTATCTTTTGATAACTAAAGCTGAGTTGATAAAGTTTCAAAAATGCATTTTGTGAAGTTCATTTAAGTGGTGTTCTTTCTCCTTTTACAATGTTTTCAATAAATCCTGCTAATAAAATTATTCCAGTAACTTTTGTGTTGTGCCTACACAGTACCATTTAAAACCTTCTCTGCAATACTGATGAGTCTTAAAGGCAAGAAAATGAAGTGTATTGTAAATTATATTTTTTGACCAAAATTAATTGGCTTCTGTGTGTGCTGCGACTGACACAATATTGGACCTCCAATGAGCCATTTCTAACACGATGGAGACGTGATTACAAAAGCTCAGTTGAGAAAAGAGAAAAAAAACTTCTTGCAGTTAATGCAATCCACTAAATCTATATATTTTTTAAAAAAGATGTATTTTCTATCTTTTCTCCGGTCCTACAGCAATGCTACTAATAAGCTGTCCACTAGGTGGTGCATGAGTGGATGATTGAGAAGACTCGTCCAGGAATTCTCCATCTCTGCCTGTGACAGAAAGTATCCTGCACCGTTGCTCTACCACTGAAGGGTTTTTTTTGGCAATTCTGAGCAAGTAACATAGCGAATAGCGATTGTAAATCATCACTTCTTGAATTCAAGACTGCTGTCACAAAGGAAACTTGTTTTGTCAATCGTAGCACGTCGAGCAAGTCAGTTAATTTTGGTTTAAAAATATAATTTACAATACCCTTAAGAATGAGTTCAAGTAGGCCAAGGCCTATATCATTTATCTTGCATCTCTCTTGTAACCTACTGTGGTACTGAGGCTATTCTGATCAGTAAAGTCTCAAATCCATCCATGATTGTTGTGCAACGTTGCTGTGCGCAATTGGCTGCCGCGTTTCGCCCACAAAGTACAGTTAATTCAACAACTTGGATTTATGTAGCGCCCTCCACGCCGGACGGAGTCTCAGAGCGCTTCACAGTAACGGATCCCGGGACCGAGCCAGAGGGAGGGGGGAGGAAGGTGACCAAAGGCACGGTCGAAAAGAAAAGTCTTCAGCAGAGACCTGAAAATAGAGAGGGAGCGAGGCGAAGTGAGTGAGGAAGGGAGTTCCAGAGCCTCGGGGTATAGTGGCTGAAGGCACGGTCGCCGATGGTGGAGCGGGGGACGAGGAGGAGGCCAGACCCGGAGGAACGAAGGCAACGGGTACTGTTTTGAGGAGAGAGGAGGTCAGAGAGTTCGGGGCGGGTGCAGAGGAGCGCAGGGACTTGGAACGACAAGGAGGGTGAGGATCTTTACAGTTGTACCTTTACACTGTACAGTGTAATCCTGGGAAGCGCTCTGGGACGTCTCGGGAGATGCGGTCGGGCGCTCTTTTATCAAATGCAAGGACTGTTGTTGTTGGATTTGGCTCTGCCTTTGGTTTCCTGTTTACCTTTCATTCTTTCTCCTCCCTCCCTCCTTCCTTCCTTTGCATCCATCCATCCATCCTTCCTTCCTTTGCATCCATCCATCCATCCTTCCTTCCTTTGCATCCATCCATCCATCCCACTCTACCGACCTGCCCCTTCCTCTGCACCTGAATCCCCAGCCACCCACCAATCAATCTCCCTTCCTGCTTTGGGTCAGGGTGTTGACTTGAGCAGAGGAGGAAAGGGGGTGGTGGGGGGGTGGAGTGATGATGATGATAGTGGGCTGGCTGCGCAGGCGCAGACCCAGACACCGCGCAGGGGGCGGGGCCGGCCGGTGGGCAATCGGGGTTGCGCGCGTCGCGTCGAGTCGGCTCGAGCCGTCCGAGCTGACGGGTAACGCGCGCGCGCGCGTGCGTGCGCGTGCGTACACGCCCACGCACGCGCACGCACGCACGCCCTCCTTCCCCACCGCACACACACAAACACACACACACAGAGTCATGTACGCACACATTACACACAACACAACACCGGGGTTGGTTCTCTCTCTCCAGTTCACTTCGCCCAAACCACCCGACAGATAAGACGGACACACACACTCGCCCGCTCACACCCTCGCTCTGAGCCGGGGGCAGACGCTTTAAAACGCACGCGCGCGTGCGACCGTTTATTTTATTATAACACACACGTTTTTATATATAATACACACACACATATAGATAGAGAGAGAGAGAGAGTGGGGGAGAGAGAGAGGTAGATATCGAGAGGGTGGGAAAGCGGAAGGCAGGCAGTGCGAGGAGGGAGATTTTCATTGTGTTTTGACGATCCTTCAGAGAGAGAGAGAGAAAAAAAAATCAGCGGTTGATTTGAGAACAAGAAGGAGAGGGATTTGAAGGGACTCCGCCTCTCTCTCTCTCCCTCTCTCCCCTCCTCCCTTTCTATCCCTCATTCCCCCGAGCGATGCCCTCTGATTTCATATCGCTCCTCAGCGCCGACTTGGATCTCAATTCGCCCAAGAGTTTGTACTCCAAAGGTAAGGCGGCGCTTTAACCTCAAAGACATTTCTCTCGTGCCGTCGCCAGCGCCAACCGTCGTTTTTTGAACCCCTTTCCTCCCCCCCCATCCCCCCCCACCCCATACACCCACACACACCCCCATACACCCACACACCCCCATACACACACCCACACCCCCACACACACACACCCACACCCCCCCCACACACACACACCCATACACACACACCCACACCCCCCCCACACACACACCCATACACCCACACACACCCATACACACACACACCCACCCCCCCCCACACACACACACCCATACACCCACACACACACCCATACACACCCCCACACACACCCCACACACACACCCATACACCCCCCCACACACACACACCCACACACACACATACACCCCCACACACACACACAGGCTCTAAGCTAAATTTATTTGGAGAGAGGGAGCTTTATTTTCATTATGTATATGTATACATATATATATTGTGTGTGTGTGTTTATGTGCGCGTATATATACATATGTGTGTGTGTGTCCGTATTTTTTGTTAAGGCCGTGAGGTTTGGTGGAAGGGGGTTTGATTCATCGTATGGTTTATTTCTCTCCTTTTTTTTTGCTTCTTTCCTGGTTTCCCCCCTCCCTTTTTTTTTAGTCAGTGCGCGTGAAGCAAATTAAAATTGATATCGTGATTTATTATTGTTTTTATCACTCCCCCCCCCACCCCACCCACCCCACACAAACACAGAGAGAGAGAGAGAGAGGAGAGAGAGGGAGGGAGGAAGAAGTGGGAGGATGCAAATTTCTGTTTGGGTGAATTCGACCCTTTCCCTCCCTCCCTCGGTGTTCGACCCAACTTTGGACGTGCAAAAGTGCTTTGATTGACGGCCTAATCCACCCTTCGAGGGGGGGAGTCGGCTCCGAGTGAGCCGTCATTCGGGAAGACGGGGCTTGGGGGAGCACGAGGCGCCAATGGCGGGCGTTGAGAGGCAACGCTTTCCTTTTGAAACGAAAGTTAGGTCGACAAGACGTGTTTACGTCTCTCTCTCTCTGTGTGTGTGTGTCTGTGTGTGTGTATATATATGTTTTGTACAGAGCACTTGGAACCAGTGCTGCAAAACAAAACAACAACAAAAAAAAACACCGGCACGGTTTGCACTGAGAGAGCACAGCCCGTTTCCTGTGCGATCTGATCCCGGCCAATAATCCTCCACATAACATTTTGTCGTCGTCGTCGTCGTCGTCCCGACTCGCAACAGCACCGGGTTACTAAGGGCGGGTGGGAACCCGGAACAGCGAGACGACAGCCGAGGAGGGGTGTAAGTACCCGCTGGGCCCACCCCTCTTTACAGACCCGCGCACTCGCAAGAGCCCTCCAACCCCCCACTCCCCCACACACCCTCACACTGACCATTAACCTGGGTACAGCCATACAGACCCGAGCCTCCTGCTGCCTGGCCCCAGTGTGCACCCTTCTCAGCCCGACCCCAGGACCCCGGTGGGGGGGGGGGGAGGGAGGAGGGGGGTGGGAGGTGGAGACGTTGACACTTCCTTCAGGTGTCACTTGGAATTCTGGCATAAAAGTGGAATTCCGGCACCAAGACCCACGGTACACGGCCGTGTGCCACACGTGGTGAGCGTCTCGGGTGTTGCTCGCAATGATTTTGCATGAAAAGGTGAGAGAGAATGTATACGTGCGTTGGACTGCAACTGTTGACTCCGCAAGACTTGGTGGATTCGGGAAAAACCTGACCCAACCTGTTTTTAATTCAGCCCGCACCACTTCCAGCTCCGGAATCTTTTAACATTATTTTTATGACAGTGATATCTGTCAGGCATTTTGCCAATCTGAATGATTGCCAGGAGGCTGACACAAGATCTGGAGAAGCATCAGGAAGTGTGATCAGCTTCACACACAACTCCGAGACACAAGTTCACTTCGCCCTCTTCTCCCTCATACACAGCTCAACGCAGAGAAAATATTAGAGCTCCATCATTAAATGCAGAACCTGACGCGCTCAAACAATTCAAGTGATTATTGTCATGGTTTATAATCCTTCGAATTCCTTCGTAAAATGTTAACTTTGATAACGCACGTGATCCCTTTTTTAAAATTGTGATCTATTTTCCCTTTATGGTCCAGGTTGACACTCCAATGTAATGCTGGGAAGTACTGAATTTTAGAGGTAACCTCCTTCAGATCAGGTGTTAAACTGAGGTACTGCCTGTTCAGGTGGACGTTAAAGATAGCACTATTCAAAAATAAAGTAAGGAGTTTCCCACATTGTACTGGTCAACAATTTCCCCCCCCAGGTAAAATTGGTAATTTACCTGATAGCTGTTTGTGGGTAATTGTCGTGCACAAATTGGTTGCCACATTTTTCCACAAATACAATCACTACACTTTACAGTAGATCCTGTGAAGTGCTTTGAAACATTTCAACGATATGATCAAGTGCTACACCAAATGCAAGTATCATCTTAGAAGCTTGTAGTAATAACATTTTATTATTTGAAGCCTATGATGGAATCATTGCAGACACTGGTCAATGTTATTGAAATGTATCTTTTTCAGAATCAATTGGATACTGGATTGCGTATTTGATTCTGCATTGGAAGACTGGGATTTGAATTGTGACTTCTTCAATTTGAAAGCACTACATTCTAATGTTCTATGTAGTTAATCATACCCAATTATAAGAAAGTACATAAATTGTTAATTGCTAGTTGCAAGGCAACTTCACAAATTTATGCAAAATGCCTGTCTGAGCTTAATGTGGAAGCTTGATTGACTAGATTTTATTTTCTCTGCTATAGTTCTATCTTGATCTAGAGACATCCAGTCTGTAACCTTGCAGTTATTCTCCTTTAACGTAGCAATATTCCTGCTTACATGGAAGAGTATTCGGTGCAAACATTTGAGAGCAAAATTTGCTGGGCACGCGATAACAAAGGGGAGGGGCAGGTTACTAAGGAACAGAACCAAGCCAGTGTGTGATAATATGTGTTTAAAAATAGTTTATGGTACAAGATTAGACTAGTTGTCACTTTGTGCGTAGTAGTAAAATGATTGCCGTATCTGATTTCCGGGACCGTCATGTAAGATGTTGTATGTAAATAGTAGTCAGCTATCTACTCTTCATTCATTGCCTTATTTAAAACAAAATCAGTGCTGCTGCTTCCTTAGTGGCTGTCAGTTACACTGCAATTCAATACAAAGATTGAACAAAATTTATCTTAAGTTTTCTGTTAAGAAATACTTTGAAGTATGTTGATTTTAATGAGTAAACCTAAAAGTAAAGTGATGCAAAAATATTAGTGTTACTTCATCTGTATTGACAAACATTTGTTTGGGGCATTAAACCTGCTATTTAGGGAAACAGGAATGTTTTTGTACATAAAATATTTGTTTGGAAGAAATGTTATCAAAGAAAATTAGTTTGATAACTTTCTTTTGAAAATTAATGTTCCAGATATTGATGTTCTTTGAAATGAGAACAGAATATCCCCTGCATACATTTGAATCTTCCCAAAAGTATGCAGTGTGTTACTCTTTCACCCTGTGTAACGCTACCCACACATCTTTGATACAATATCAACCCTCTTTGGTTACAGTAATTTTATATATGGTACTTATAAAGTGCAAAACCACAACCTCACATTCAGTAACTTTATTGTGGTATTGATAAGTAGATGTAATGTTGGTAATGGTTATTGCAAAAACAGGGTTGGCAGTTAAAATATTGTGCAAATTGTACTGCTACTGTTTTTTAAAATATTTTTGTACCCAGTTGGGTAGGTGGTGCACATAAAGCCCATTTTGGTTTGTATTTTTGTGCAGGTTTGAGTACAAGATGTTGCTCCAAAAATATAGTTTCTGAATTTGTTGATTTTGTTCAAGTTTCAATAGGTCCTTGTACCTTCTGGAGAAATCGTTTTGTAGAGTGGGTGCCAGCATGTTGTACAAAACGTGTGCATTAACATAGCTTCTTCAAGTGCTTTACAGTACACCATTGAACTCTGAATGGAAATAGCTGAAGTACAGCCAAAGAGCTTTTTTCAGTTTTGGCAGTGTTCCAGAAATAGTATGCTGCTGCCACCACCACCACATGCTGTTGTCAATTGATTTAAATTCCAGCTTCAGAAGGATTAACATCTACAATTGAAATCATAAAAACCTGAAGGCTATTTAAAAAAACAAAAAAACTATAAGCCAGTTCTTTAGAGAGCTGTAATTTATAATCCTTGATGTTTTAATAGGTTTTAATTATGTTATTTTTCTGTTTGCTGGATGTAACCAGCCTGTCTCCTGGGAGTGTTTACTTTTTTTATTGGTCTAGCTCCAGAGGTTTTTGAAGAACAATATTTTAACCTTTTAACATAGAAAAGACAGACAGTTGCCAGACTTGTGTACAGGGTTAAAAGGCAAGGGCAACTCGTGCATCCAGATTAGATTAACTACAGGCTTGCTAGATTGCTGTTGTTATCCATTTTAGTTTTCTAGCTACAAAAATGACCATAACCTGAGATTCACTGATTTACAGTTTAACTTTTGCTGAGAAAAAATAAGTTGCACTTGCATAGCACCCTTCATATATGGCATTTCAGTGTACTTCATAATGAGAGAATGGGAGCCTGATCAGAGTGGGAGATGGGGAAGAAGAGAGGAGGTGACTGAAGACAATATTTACAATAAAATCACCATAAATATAAAATCAGGATTTGTAGCAGTTTTGAAGGATTGATCAAACCTCTCTTTAAACAGCTGCTGTTTCAGATATCCAGGAAGTGGCATAGTTAGTGTGCAAAAAGATTTTTTCAGGTAAAAAAGGAATATTTGGAAATTAACCATGGAAAGAAGTCATTCAATATTTAAATGAGTGCTTGCTTTGGACAAATTTCATTGAAAGTGGTAGTTAGATAAATTTGTGCTTTGGGTTGTTCTCCCAACGTGAAGTTGCTATATAAATGTGTATTGTATTTTATTTATACTAACAAACAATATAACTT